ATTATGAAAAAAGAAGAAGCTCCCGTTAGTATCTACCACACCAACTAGCTAGGTCATCTGTCTCATTTTGATGTTCGTTGCCCATTACGATTTATACAAACATACGTGTGCGCGCACAGGAAGAAAAAAAACATGTTTTTGATGAAACCTATATCGACATTCTCCACACATCTGCCTTCCTTCGTCACCTCCTTTCTCTAACCTTTACCTTCCCTCCACATCAATCCTCTGCCTTTAGTACATAAACGGCGTGAAGACTGAGGGTTTACCATTTACCTTGCTGACTTAGTATTTAAATAACTTAAGAAAAGAATCATGAACAAACACATTGTACTGTCACAATTATGATGGAGACAGGGAGGGAATATACATAATTCTTATATATTCTTACCCAATTTAATACCTTTGATCTGGAGGAATTTAACATGAAAGATCGGTATCAATTCGATCAATTAGGGCAAAAAAATTGCACCAGAGAAACGAAAAAACAAAGAAGATGATGAAGGAAGATCCTCCATGGAAGACCAATGTTAAGAGTCCCTTTAACTATATTGCATAAGTATCCAAGCATGCATGACACATTGGAATGCTAGGAATTACGGAAAGAGATTGCCTTTAGGACATTTACAATAGAAAACCTTGAATTAATTCTTAAAACCTGAAATGCTAGCCCTTTAACATAACCTAAAAAATCATTCTTTCACCTTTATGACAAAAGAAATTGCCCAAACTTCTAAGTAAGAAATTTCACGATGAAATTAGCACGATGCATGCATGCATGCCTTGCCTATAGATACATAAATTTAAAATAAAACAAAACGAGGGGAAGAAGAAAAAAAATGAAGAAGATGTTACCGAAGCCATGATGGAGGGAAGGCGGGAGCTGCCGAGTGGATGGTTTGGAGGAGGAAGTTTTACAAGAAAAGGAAAAAATATTATAAAGGAGAGAGAGGGGATGTTGTAGAGTCAAGAGACTCTAGAGAGAGAAACAAGGAGCGATTTGTTAGGCCATTTTAGGAGATAAGCCTTTTTGTTAATCTTGTTGATTGTTATCCTTTCTCTTCTCCCTCGTTAATGTTTGCATGTTTTGTTGCCTACGTAGCAAATATGTTGAGGTACACACATGTACGCACCGTTTCTGTCTTCTAGATCCATGTGTCATGGCACCTTGCTGTGCTGAACTGTAAATTATATAAAATATCGAATATATTAAAGATTACACCAGTTGACGTGGCAACCGCTTATTTATTTTCATTAGTGAAACTCAAAAATCATGAAAATTCATTCTTGAAACCTCAAAATTGTAAAAATTCATTCATAAAACTGCAAAATGAAAAAATTCATTCGCAAAAACCCTAAAGTGCGAAAATCCACTTGAAACACTAGAATGCAAATATATCAAGGAACTCCAAATTATAAGAATTCATTTACAAAACTCCAAAATGCGAAAATGCATTCGAGAAACACAACAAACAAAAATTTATTCACGGAAGCTATAATTTCCAAAACTCATTCGCAAAGCCCCGTTTGCGAAAATTTATAGGGGATTCAGAATGCAAGAATAGCATTTTTTGGGCTTTGTGAATAAAGTTTCATGTCTCACTATTTCACATTTTCGCATTTTTAAATTTCATGAATGAATTATCATCTTTTGAAATTTCACGGATGAAAATTTCAGCTTGAGTTTTGTTAATGAAGTTTCGCTTTAATGGGTTATTTTTCGACTTTTTGAGTTCCACTAAACAACCATGCGGTACAATGAAAGCTAAGCATATTGACGATCCCCAAATTACAAAGCGCATTTGAAAGACTCGAAAATTCATTCACAAAACCTCAAAATTCACAATATCAGGTTGCAGCTTTACAACACTCCATAGCTGACAGAATGCTTAGCAGATTAGATGGAAGGCAAGTCCCGTAACGACTGCAAATAGACGAGGATGCCTACGGTTCAACCAGTCCAAGTACGACCAGAAAAATTAGTTTTTCGCTCTTACAACCATGAAATCATTGCAAACAGTAGAAAACATAGTTCTCAACAAATAAACATTTCTTCCACCATTTCTCAAGAATATGTGATTGGCGAATCATTGTAATTATTTCAATGTTTGATCCAATTTATGATTTAGGGATTATGACAACTTTTGTAATGCACTAGTAAATCGACGTCGTTTGAACTAGAAATGCTCTGTTGGGATTTCGAATGATAAAATTGGCACAACTATGGCATCGTAAGAACTATCATGTCAGTTACAAAAAATGGGGCGGTAATTCAATGAGCAGAAACACAAAGTTCCCAAATGACCTCCTTCCACTCCAACCACCGTCAAAGAATTCACTAAAATAATTCTCAGCCACAGCTACAATTTTTTACAAATCATCTATTTACAGAGACAATCATCTTCTACCTTTGCCGTACATGAACAAAAAGTACAATATCATACAAGCCGTATCAGTCGAAAATATACAATCTCTGGAAAGTTGCAGTGGCCAAAAATTTCAAGGGAGGGGTGTACCAATCAGACCTCAACGTTAGCTTTGTTTCCAGCAAGAATGAGCGAGATTTCCAACCCACGGCTAAAGGCTTGGTTAAACAGAAGCCGAGACTGGAAGGTGGAGATGAATGGGAACCATGACAAGAATGCTATTGGAGCGAAAATGAGCATACCCATACCAGCATCGTACATTCTGGCAAACTCCCTTACTGAGTCCCATAAGCCCAGACTTCTGACGATCTTCTTCCAAGTGATGGCTAGCTGTTTAGGCACAACCAATTCCGATTAAAAGAAAGATGGGAAATCACAGTACAAATTGAATAACACAAGTTTAAAATGTAATATGAATGCAAGCCTAAAAGATTAACTTACGCATATTATGGCCCATCCAGTAGGAACAATTGCAAGGAAGCTTGCGAATAGGTCCGGTATTGAAAGTCCAGTAAATACAACAAGAAGAGCAATAACTGCAACAAGTCCCAAGGATGCCACACCCTGTATAAATCTCATCACTAGCTGGAAGTTGGCTGACTTTTTAGGACTGAAGGTGAAAACCTGCAATGTAAAATAGATTTAGCCATAAAGGGTACGAGTTTCACTAACATCAAGCACGCTCAAGGGCATGGGGCAAAAGGGCTAGCTTTCTTGATACAAACCTTGAAAATCATGACAATAGCTACCAATACAACCCAAGAGAAGCCGTAAATCTGGATTCCAAAATGAGAAAGAACTGTCAAGATAAGGAACAAAGAATGCCAACAATCAAAAGCATATGTCCCATCTAAAATCACAAAAAGGTTCAAGTGATATGAAGTGTACCGCAAGTGATGTGCCCTTTCCAGTTATATGGAGTTTGTACACAATGCCATATTGAAACAAGAAGAACCTCAAGCTCAAAATTGTTTCCAATATACGACCTCTCAATGTTTGAATATGCATCTGCATGAGCAGAAAAACAACTTGACACATACAACAAACAAAACAAAAAGTAAAAAGAAAAAACACTTTTTAACACAATAAAACACAATGGGGGAAGAAGTTTGGCTCCACCAGTTGGCATTCAGAACAAAAAGATAAAAACTTTGTTTGCAAAACTGTGAACATGAAGATCACCTTGAACATACAACACAGCTCTACATAACAACAGAATAACCCACAATCCTAAACAAAACTTGATTAAAGAACAACTAACATGCAGCAGCCTCCAGTCTTAAAGAAGAGCACAAATAAATCCTTCAATAAAACCTATTCAGATGCTCGCATCATGAAAACTTATGTAAACTGAGAAATTTGTTATAAAGAAAAAATAACGAAAGAACAGAAAGAACAAAAACAATTTTGTTGAAGTACAGTTGAGTTACAAACCTGCTCTTCATCCCACCAAGATTCCCAGCTATTCTCTCCCTTAACTCCTACTCCACCTCTGTAAAGAAGCCAACTGGTCCAATCATCAAAATCCTCCACCGTCCTGTTTCATTAACAAGACAACAGCTCAGTTGTTTCAAAAGAAAGTGAACAGCTTCACATAGATGAACCATACAAATTGAAAGATAACCCAAACTAAAATGTCACAGAAAAAGTAGATACAAAGATTCCACAAAAAGTGGATATTACATACTTTTGCCACTCAAAACCAGAGGGATTAAAGATATAGGGAGCAAACAACCAGGAGATGACTAGGAACCAACTACTGAGAGTTAGCAAAACGAAAGAAACAGCACCACCATCTGTGTACCCATATGCAATGTAAACTATGAGAAGCAGAGCCACTTCAAACCTGCAAATATTAAGTCATGAGAACTAACAACAACCAAAAAAAGGGTTTAAGAGCTTCAGGAATATAAGAGCAACCCCCCATCCAAAAAATAAAAGAAGGAAAAGAATTTATTTATTCATCATTAGAAAATGTCACTCACGCTTTGACAAAATGACTTCTAGAGTAGAGCCTATAATTCTCAGCAAACTTTATGTGACGAACAACAAAGCCTCTACCAGTAGCTCGGTACTGTTGGGGAAATGAAAAATGCAAATATAACCAATTAATTCCATAAAATAACACAAGCAAGAAAACAAAAACAGAGCTTCTAACAAAGGAGAAGTAAACCAAATACATACCTTTGCACCTCCATGGAGGATGGTGCGCCCAAAATAATGAGTTCTAGTTCCTAACGAGAACGTGAAGAACACAGAACATAACTGAAGCTGCATTGTGATAAAACTAAAAACCGCCTGCAACACATAAAAGGATTTTAATTACAAAAGCTATTAGGATTTTAAATGCTATACATTTCCATAATTATGTATACAAATCCAGAGCCCTAGAAGCCTAAGCCTAGAAGTAATTACTTCATCTTGTGGTTTCTAGTTACGATCCTGGTAAACTAAAAGCTATAGCTAACAATGCCAAGAGTATGCAGCCCCATTGTATGATAGAATCAGAGATAGGGACGTTAAACATGAGCATGACATTGATGAGAATTAAATAGACTAACCTTCAGCAATCCCAGTTCAAGTATAAAGCCCATTACCATTGGCACTGCAGTAAAAATTCCAATTTGGACCAAGAACTGTGCATTCAAAACAGCATCCAATGCTGTGTTACCCGACAATTTTGCTTGCTTTGCAATTGCACGATCAAGTCCAGAGAAAGCCTATAAGATTTCACAAAAAGGCATCATATATAATGCATTGACATAAAGTGAACTTGTTCACCACCTAACTGTTTTTTAAGTAGACAGAAAGTAACAGAGTTACTAATAAAACCCACATATGGTAATTTCCTAGCTTATAAAAAGAGAAATACGAAGCAAAAGAGTAATATTAAGATACTTGTAAGTTGTGGCCAGTGACAATATTGATCTCATGTCGGTTTTTACAACAGAAAATTTTTTCAAACAGTGGCTGAACTTGGATGGAGCGCCAAAATTGGTGGCATTACCAAACCCAAATCTTCAAGTATTCAGGCAAGTCACAAGAAATAGGGAAAAAAAAATGTTGGCAAAACTTATCTTTCCCAAAAAAAAAATTAGGAGTTTTCAAAATTTTAAATTTGCATGCAATATAACTGCACAAATTTCAGGCCGAAAATGAACAGTCAAATTTTCTGTTTTCCTAATATTTCCAGCCTCTAAAAAGTACACAGTAATTTATAGTAAGAAATACAAGTAGTTTTTTTTCTGACAAGAGTAATCAAAAAGTTCATGCATCAACTATTTATACTTTTTAAGACAAAAGTAATAAAAAAGTTCATGCATTTCTGTAACATCTCTGGGGTCTCTAGAACTCATTCATTTGAAAGATATTTTAGCTAGTCATGCAAGGTGGTTCCTACATAGCAGTGAGTATCTAAACTTGCCTAGCTATTTGATAAAATTATCTCTCCTCCAATATGGTTTAAGTTAACACTTACCAGATAAACCCTTCCATATAGGAATATGTATACTACGAGGACAGTCATCTGCATTATGAACCAACTGTTATCGAAAAATTCCAGAAACACAAATCTGAAGAGCAAATAAAAATATACAAATATGCAGGAGTCAGAAACAAAATACCATTGTACACACGTAGAAACCAATGGTTGTGTAAAAGTAAGAGAACATTCTAAAAAAATCAAAGAGTTGTCCAAGCCTGTACACATCCCTACTAAGGACTTGCTCCCCATTTCCACCTGCCACTTTCCCTTCAAATAATGCAATCTGGTTTAACCCAACATCCCTTCCTTTTCCAACCTGCACAACGAGGCAGGCTATCAAATGACCATAAAGATATGTTTCACTTAAATAGAGAAAAACATTCGCGTAAGTATAGAACCTGAATGTATTCGTGGTGTGTAATGTTACCCTGCCTCAGGGTGGAGTTGAACCCTGCAGAATTTGTTTCCATCAAGTTGATAAGCTAGACCAAAAGACACTATAACGAAGCATACTAACCCAAAATGTATTACATTAAACCCAAAAAAAAAAAAAAAAAAATTATATATATCAAAGTAGGAGTCATCATTTGGACCACTTTCTGTAGTGAACGCTCAAAAACAATAAGGTTAGGTAAAGAGAAAAAATCCCCAACAATAGCTGCAGATTGACATGAACCACTTTCTCAGATAATGCATCCACCAGCATTCAAAAATTAACTAATCATGAAATAAGTTCCATATAAAATTGCTGACATTCTTTACACTTTACAGTATAAATATAGTTACAAATGATACTAAACTTAGAAAATTGACAAACAAGGAAAACTCCTTCTACCGCCTATGCAGAGAAAATAACACCCTAGGCAATTGCTCAAAATTCCAGAACACAATTTTCTTTTATTTACTTTTTCTGAATAACATGTTCTAATAAAGAAAGACGGATATACCCATTTAAAAACAATTTTAATGGGGTTAACAAATTCTGATTTATCAGTAACCAAGAGGCATTAGTGTAACCACTTTTCAAAACAAATCAGTTATTAGTTGCAGATATAAGAAACAAATCATCAGCATCTTATATGCTTACCTGCAAAAATATCTTCACTAATATTAATAACACGTGAGGCTTTACTAATACCACCTCGGGTAGTGTGGAAAATTCGATCAAACACATCCGGGTGTCCATAGTGCATGCGAACTCTGCATATTAAGGAAAGCAAACTCAAACTTAAGCCCACGCCAAGAAATAGTAATTAAACAGAAAACAAACCAAACCCATTTTGTAACCACAAATTCAAAAGGTTCTTAAAATGCAACCAAGTTATAAAATACTCACTTTAGAGGATAAGCTAAAACTCGTTGGGCTAAAGTCACAAAGCTAGTCTCTTGGTTGGACATGAACCATGCTAAAGATGAAACACTGCATGGATTCATTCAACACACATGTAAGCAATTCTCAGAGCAACCACTTATGCTGGCCATCATAAAAGAAACCACATAAATAAAAACTGGAAGAAAAAAAAAGCTGGCCAAACCTTCCTGTAAAGACATGCTCTCTCACACCAAGAATAGTTGGAGGTCGAAGGCCATGATTTTTGTGAAATTCCTCCAGGAGATTTCTCATTTTCATTGCCTCCTCCAGGTAATTGTCCTAAAGAACAAAATAAGAGCATTTATAAATCATTTGTTATATCATCCTCAATTGTGGTAAAATTGCAAATCTCATATGTAGAAGTAGTCTTGTGTGTCAAAATGCAGATGATAACAAAAGAGAAATGGAGCGTGTATGGTGCATAAATTCTATATACAAAAGGAACCAACAGTCCACTAATTTAAACACCAAAAAGAGAGGAAAAGAGAGTTTGAAAAAGAAGCAGCAAAATACTCCGGTACAAACAAGACACAAAACAACTAGAAAGTTTAATATTTGGTCACCTGGTTCATGTCAATAGTCTGAACAGCTTCTCCACGAGTGAAGACTATGGCATGATTTTGATTTTCAGGCTTCCCTTCACCTAGCTTCGGATCACCAGGAAGTTTAATGGAGTATATTTCCTATGAATCGATATTAGACAAGAACACATAAGCACGGCACCAGATTAATACGTGCAATTAAAAGATGAATTAGCAGCAGGCTGAAAAACCATCCAGTCCAGGAGAACTATCAGCTGACATAGAGAAAACCACATCTCGAACCTTCTCCATAGCAGGTAATCGGGCAAGGAATAAATTGCATGCAATTAATGCAATGAATTATGTTGAGCACTAGTCCCAAATTGGTTGGACTATGCACCTAGCCATTTATAACACTAGAGCCTCAATCAAAGTTTTTGGCTTGGCGCTTCAATATGTCATTAGAGTCATCTAGGATGACTAAAAGGTACAGTCTCATGCAAAAGCAAAATAATTCTAGACTAGATGAAACTCTGCATGGAAGAAAAGGTGCATAAACAGAACTTCACATTACCTGATCCTTTCCATGTATATCGGCTTTGACAAGCTTTGAATAAAATTCTTTTGTGGTTTTTCCTTCAATTGCACCACTCTCCTCAACATGTATATACGCAACCCGAAGGGCCTCATTTCTAGTAACCAAACATGAATTCAAAGTATTATCATGTAGATAAAAATAGAAAATAACAAAACCCACACCACCATCCAGTTTCATAAAATTAACGTTTCAGGGGAACTACTCCTGACAGGAACAGCTCATTTTTTATTTTTATCCTTTGGCATCTAAGTTTATCTTATTGTCAGCATGAGACCTGGCACCTAAATGAGTTGAAGAAAATTCATGCAGAAGTGTGATATATGATTGGAGCATCCTTAGCCACGAACAACTAGGAGGTATCATCAACTCTGTAATTTAAACACATGCACCTAAGGACCAATACTTTGGAATCACACTCAAGTGTTCATCTAGGAGAGGCCACTTTCAACATGACTTGAACCCAACACAAAGGTTATCTACATGCCACAGACCTAACTACCATTGTGGATACTACTAGTCTGCTCTGCATTTTAAGATATGAAAGGGCCTTATCTTAAACCTAACATTACAATAAAAGAAATTATGAATCAAATTCTTCATAAACCTAGACAAAGGGAAGATTTACAGTTTTTGGTAGGCGACATAGTTTACAAGGAGGAAGTGAAGTGGAGACAGAAAGGTAAAGCTAAGTGGGCTAGGGATGGTGACGGTAATACCATATATTTTCATATGATGGCCACGGGTTATAGGAAAAGAAATTTCATTGATCGGTTAGAAGTGGAGGGTGTAAGTATTATTGAGAATGAGGAGGGCATTGAGTCGGAGACAATCAATTTTTTCAAGAGGCTTTATAGTAGTAATGAGGAAGTGGGTTGGGGTGTGGAGGGATTAAATTGGTGCCCTATTAGCACGGTGCAGGCAGCTTGGATCGAGAGGCCGTTTGAAGAGGAGGAGGTTCGTACCGTCGTTTTTTATTGTGGAAAGGACAAGTCGCCAGGAGCTGATGGTTTCACCTTATTTTTCTTTCAATCTTGCTGGGACATTGTGAAATGTGATCTTATGAAGGTAATGGAAAATTTCTATGATACTGGGATCATCAATGCTGTTACAAACGAAACCTTAATTTGTCTTATCCCCAAAAAGAAAGACTGTTAAGCTTAGGGATTATAGGCCTATTAGTTTGGTGACTAGCTTACACAAAGTGGTGTCCAAAGTCTTGGCATCGAGACTGAGGGAGGTTTTGGGCGAGACTATTTCCCTATCCCAGGGAGCTTTTGTGAAAAATAAGCAGATTTTGAATGTTGTTTTAGTTGCTAATGTGGTTGTTGAGGATGCCAAGAAGTCAATCTTTAAAATTGATTTCAAACATGTAGAATGGAGATTTGTGCATGATGTTTTGGAAAGAAAGGGTTTCGGAGCTGGATCAGGGGCTGTTTAGAGTCTGTCAACATTTCTATCATGATTAACGGAAGGCCCAGGGGCAAATTCACGGTGACCAGAGGGGTGAGACAAGGGGATCCGTTATCCCCTTTTCTGTTCACTTTGGTTATCGATGTTCTAAGTAGGCTTACGGAGAAGGCCCAAGAGAACAATTTGATTCATGGTCTTATTACTGGACGAGATAGAGTGGAGGTTTCTCATGTCCAATTTGCTGATGACACAATATTCTTACTCAGAGAAGCGGAGGAGTACTGGTTTAATCTTTTTGTAATCCTTGGAAGGATATTTCTTCTGGTTACCATTCCTTTTTACAGTGTTGTAGGTTTTAGGTGGGAAGTGAGGATAGGGTGAGATTTTGGGAGCACAATCGGGCGAGGGAGGGGGTTTTGAAGGATATTTTTCCCAGATTATTTGCGCTGTCTAAGAAGCACTTTTTATGCATTTACTCGTTTCGTGGACATTCAAGTGTTCCCTTATAATTGGGACTTCGGCTTTAAGAGGAATCTAAATGAGATGGAGTTAGCTGAGGTGATCAAGTTGCTGGACATTCTTGACGGAATTAGATTGTCACCTTCCAGATTGGACAGGAGATGGTGGGAGCTCGAGGGATCAGGTTCTTTCTCGTGCAGATCTTTTTGTTCTTTTCTTCTCTACAATGGGATGGCGGAGGCCTTTCCTCCTTATTCTATAATATGGAAGGCCAAATCTTCTCCTAAGGTTAAAAGTTCTCATTTGGTTGGTCGCCCTTGGGAAAGTAAACACATCTGCTCTTGTCCAAAGACGAAGACCGTACATGTACTTGTCTCCACACTGGTGTGTTCTATGCAAAATGAGTGAGGAAAGCGTGGATCACCTTTTTTTCAGTGCCCCTTTTCGTTAAGTCTTTGGTGGACCTTGTTAAGGGAGGTTAAGACTATTTGGGTTATTCCAAAAGGTTGCTATGATCTTCTTTGTTCCCATTTTGTCATTTGGGGCAGGGGGAAGCATGCTTCAACCTTACGGGGTTGCTTGGTGCAGTCTGTATTTTGGAACATTTGGATGGGGCGTAACATGAGGATTTTTTATGTGTATGAGGGAGTGGGTGTTGGTGAATGGGTTCTGTCACTTCAGATTTCAAAGACTATTCTTACTCCACTATATTGAGGGATATGGCTGCTGTGATGTTAAGTGTTTGTTTTGCGACTTGGTTTCTTTGGGTCTTTCTGGTGTAGCAGTCTTTGTGTAGTTTGGCTGGTGTCTTTGTTTTTTTAGTCTGTTTTTCTGTTGTTGTTCGTTTGGCTTGTGGATTTCATATCCACCTGTGCGTTCCTCTTCTTTTCCTTTCAATAAATTTTGTTTCTATTAGGGAAAAAAAACAAAAGACGAAGCAGTGCAGGACGCATAGGACCTAAATTCATTAGTTTCCTAGATTCTCTAGCTTTCCAAATTCTAGTAGGATTTCTACTTTTCCAGATTTCCAGATTTCTAGTTTTAAGTTTCCTATTTTATTTGGGTTAGGATTTCTGTTTAAGCAAGGGATTTTTATCCTATTATGTCTAGGTTTTAGTTTGCTATAAATACCCCCATGTAGTTCTTTAACATTCAGATTTGGATATTGAGTAAACCTTCTCTTAACACTGATTTCTGTCCTTCCTTCTCGGTTCTCTGATTTCGGTCCTTTCTTTCGTCCCTTCGATCTATATTTTCGTCTCCTCGACCTCTGATATTCTTCTTGTTCTACTGTTCTGCCCTTTCTTTCGTCTTTTCGATCTATATTTTCGTCCCCTCAATCTCTTATATTCTTCTCTGTTTTATTGTTTAAGTGTTTAATCTAAAACCTACGGGCTGCACTACATCACAAAGGGGTCAACATAACTCAAAACTTGAGAAATTCGTTACGTTTAAAAAATCATACCTCTGCAACAAAAGGGATATATCAGCAGCCTCTGGTGCCTTTCTCTGCTTTTGTTGCCCATAAATTTGGCATGATACCACGTAAGTAAACTTCAAATCTACTTGTGCTCGGGATTCACGTGACAACTCAAAGCCTTGACTTGTGAAGGCAACATTTTGAGGATGATCATCCACTGTCAGTGATGGAAGAAATGTTAAAATGATATTCGTAGCTGAAGTGCTCCCGCAAATAGAAACTTGAGAGCAAAGTTCTCAAAGGAAATACCTCCCAATGACCTTCCTTCCAGATAACTCTGTAGCATTAAAGCCTTTCTATAATACATCATACCACGCACTGTAATTTCAAAAACATCAAATCATCAGATACAAGCCACATCACAAACCGACCTAACTGTCATAGGATGACATATAAATGGACTACATGGCATGCAAAGTTTTCAAACAAATGCCGGTGAAGAGAGCAAGTGAAAACTGACCGGTCCTGGCTAAAGTCTGCCCACGATAAGATACCCAAAAGCGAAGCTCCAAAGAATCACTTGAGTTTTGCTGCAGCTCAGCATCCCCAGTAGACTCACCCCGACCAATCCGTTCCAAAAAGTTGTCCCACTCATCTAATAAGAAAGAAAAATCCTTAGCCATTTACCATTAAATAAATAGAGAGAAGTCAACAAAAAGAAAATCAATGAGATATAAACTACAGCCAGTCAATAGTTTGCAGTGCAGAAATTTTTCACTAGGATTGGATTCCCAAGACAGGTCAAGGATCCGTCCCAAAGAAGCAAGGATAAGTTAAAACAAACAGTTAATCTTGTTCAGGGTTTAATTCATTAAGACCTTCAAGTTAAGTGACCAATTTCATGTGCATCTTGAGGTGGATAATAATTAAGCCACCCAAGATCAAATGCCCTTGTAGAAGAAGCTTGATTCAAGATCAAATCTGTCTAGTTTTAACTTAGGAAAGCACAAAAAATCCTAAAATTTGGCTGGCTCCTATCAGCTCAAATACATATTAAGATTTTACAGAGACTGATCAGTGGCCCACACTAATTGGTCCAACACCAACGCTGTCCCCATCTAGGATTTATCACAAAAGGCCTCAATGTTATTAGTAGTGGAACCAACTTATCTATTGTATTTTGTCAAAGTTTCTGATCTGGTATTTTTACATTCTTCAACACACCCACTCACGTGAGACCACCAAATAGTGGTCCAGACATGCAGCCGATACCACCTCAGTCATTGATCTTTTTTTAGGGTAGTTCGGGATTAGGTAATTGAGCCCAGTCAATCATTCAAGCACTCCATGAAAATACCACATACTGGGTAAATACCAGTGCTTTAAAAGGAGCGCGGATTCCGCGTCGAGGCAGAGCAACTTACCTTTCATGGATATTTGAGGCACGTTGGAGGTGTGAAGTGTATGGGAGGCGCGCTCTGCTGCGTCTACCTTTTTTTTATAATTAAAACCTAGGGCCCAAAACAAACGACATCGTTGTGGACCCTGTGTTAATGTTTTTTTTAAACATCACACTCGACCTCGCCCACACCAGATGCTCGACCTCACCCCCTTCTCTCACTGCAGCACTCAACTTCTCCCCCTCCCCCTCTTCTAAAATCCTTTAAATCCACCCTAAACCTCTAAATTTCATATAACCCAGGTAGTTTTTCACCATTTTCAGCCTATTCAAGTGGTTATTTCATTATTTTTTACAACAACACAGCAAGGATTCGGCACCTAGGGTTTAGGCACTTAGTACTTTATTATATATATATATATAATAGATATATATATATATATTAATTATATTATTCATAAGCGTGAAAAGATAACGCCTCAGTAAAATGCCTCGCTTTACCCTCAACGTTTTAAAGCATTGGTGAAGACCCAGTAATTCGGGCACAGTCAATCAGTAGATTATCTGCCTGTGTGGGTTTTTATCACAAAATGTATTTTTTCTTAGTAGTGGAACTATGCACTTGTATATTGTATTTTATTTTGTCAAGTTCCCAATGCTGTATTTTTACATTCTCCAATAGTACAGTCCTACCAGACTAAGCCACACATGTAAACTTACTATATATAATGGATTATCTGCATTTGCATTTAACTCGGTCACATGGCATAAAGGCATCATTTGAATTATGAAATTACCATATTCCTAAGTTGTTCAGCTTACATCAGACAAAGGAGAGACAATGAATTTGATTATGTGAACATATTAATATAAATCCAAGATAACAAAGTACCTGGAAAAATTTTTTGAAGATAGAAAAGAATTGATATTCCATCCTCATTTTCAACCCGCAATTCGGAGGAACTATAAAGTACAGTCTCACTGTAGTATGGGGTGAAGACACTGTTCGCAAGCAAACCACCAGATGTTTAATAGAAAATAAAAAATAAATGATGATATAACAGTTAATGAAATTTCAGCTCATCTGAAGAAAATCACGTCTACCTGAAAGGCACCATTTCACTAACTGGCTTTGCTGAAGGCATGTCCATAAATAACGAATTTGTAAAAAACTCTAATCTTCTTCTTGCTTCAAGATTCTTTGGAATATTTGCTGCAGAATCCTTTACAGTAAGAAGAAGGTGTAACCGCTTCACCAGCTCTTTCTGTGGCAACAATTAAAACGTATATAATATTAAAAAAGCCAGCCCTGAAAATTTCAAACATTATACAGCATGATCTGGTTCTTTTCCTTTTTTGTTTAGATTCAAAGATGCTTACAGTTTCTGGATCATTGGCCCACTTTATCCTAGAAAACAAGCGCCCTTCATTTCTTGCTTTTGCTAAAAGGCTCCATGTATCAAGCTGCTCCCTGAAGCATTCGGAAGGAAGAGGGCAAAAACAAAAATATTAAAAAAAAAACACAACAAAGCATGAAATACGACATAAAACTTAAAGCGTAATAAATAACATACCTCAAATCAGATGACAAAAGGTCATGAGTAACAACCTCATACAGATCAAATACAGCTTTAGCAGCACCTTTTGCAAGCACATCAGTTTCATTGCGTATCTGGCATAAACAATCCATTTGAAATACAAGAAATCAGAAAAACATATGCGGAGGACAAAAATGCCATGATATTTGATAATAAACCTAAAAAATTCAACAAACTGCGTATGACATTTATTTTTTATTTTTTTTAATAGAAACTTTTGTATTAATAATCAAGAGGATAAGTTATCCTCAATCAACAACAAAGAGAAAATCTGCTCAATTATAGGCAGCGTATGACATTTATTTAAAAGACCAGTTCAAAAGCAGTTACATGCATTTGAAAATAAACACCATAAAATAGTGCATCAATTTCCATATAATCAATGTGCTGCAGTAATTGTTTCTGTAGCAAGGTGGAAGACAAAAAAATCAAAGAAACCAAAAAAAAAAGGAGAACCAGAGTGGACTGTACTTAAAACAATCATATACAAGGAATAACCAACCAATCTACCACAACAAGCAGCTGAAAGAAGAGCTCCAAACCATACAAAATTTTGACACCTTGATTGATGCAAATGGTCAAAGAATATACCAGCAGCCCAGTTAAAGCTGTAAATCTTTTTAACACCAGCGGAAGATTCTTAAGGATTAAAGTTATAACGAGAGAACCCTCCATAATACTGTTGTTGATCTCACGGTAGATCCTTTCAACCCTACCAAAGAGAAGGTTGGACAGACAACACAGCAATTAGACAATCATGAAATATAACATTCTGACTTTTGCAGAAAGAAGAGTTAACACACTAAATATTACAAAGAACAAAGATAAATAATACCAAAGTCTCCCTTCACCATCAACCAGAGAATACAATATTTTTTCGATACTGTAATAGCATTCTTGAACAGCATAAGCCATGTACTCATCCCTACATATTCTATTCCAAAGATCTGCCTGTGTATCTTTGCAGTCCAAAGCCAAATCAATTGCCAGCAAGATCTGTAAAATAAAAAATAAAAAAAGAGGATTTTGAATATACTACTAAGAGCTGCTGGCTATATATATTTTCCAGATAAAACCAAACGGTCATACCTTACTACTCAGAAGAAACAAAGGCCATTGAACTAATCTTAGACTTCCTGTGTTGCTAGGAATACAAAGCAAATCCATCTCCCTGGAAAGACAAAAATCATTAGCACCCGAGGCATACCAGCCATGGAACAAAAACACACTGGAGTAACATAAGAATATGCTTTAGATTTTTCTTCACATTGGGAAGTGCCAAGCCCCAGCAGATTACCTATTACTAATAAAATCCTCCTCTCGCAAACTTTTTATTATCTCGTTCCAAAATGGAGAAAAAATGGCTGCATAAGTCTTTGAATCTTGAGAATCCTGAATGAAACAAGTCATACCTCAGCGCCAGGAATTTTATAGTAGGCGGAACAAGGAAGAAAAACCAAAAGGTGTAGCAGTAACAAGAATAGAGAAGATTGCAGAGCCAAAAGATGGACATGCAAAATAACCCAAAAACAAAAATCATGAGTGGCTATTGAATTTTAAGTTATAAGCATTTGTTGGAAGTCACCAATAAAATTCACTAAAAACGGATCTTTAAGAGGGTGAAAGCTAAATAGTTTCATGTTAGAGACATCCTATAATCTGAGAGATGCAGCTTGCATATAAACCAATATGAGCGAAACCTAAGTAAAAACCAACATGAACTCCAGACTATGAACAATTCGACAGAGTGAGCAGTTTACACGAACAGAACATTTTAATGCTTGTCCCACTGTCTTTGAACAAATTAAGACTTATAGTTAAGCCTAAAAACCAATATGAACTCCAGACTTTCTAATTACTTCCAAAGAGCGGAAATTGCAGCATCCTCATTGTAATAACATGGAATATGAATGGCCTATTAATTAACTGAAGATTTTGTGATGCCCACCTCAAAAACTTCAGCAATAAGGGAAAGAAATCAGCTTAATAAACTCACCTGAGATGACTGACTGTTAAATGGCAACCTGAAAACGTGAATTCAGATGCAAGTTATTAAAACAAATGATAAAAGAAAATATATATTATTTGGATTACAAGCCATTTGAAATCGACAGCAATTAAGAATGATTAAGATGTAGTATCAAGCATCAAAGCGCAAGTACGTAGTTTGGGTACAAGCCACAATTTCAAATCACTTCAGAGTACAAGAGAATAACATTAAGCATCATTTTGGTGTAATGAGGAGGTCAGCATTTTCATTATTATTTTTTGTTACATTGGGAGGACCCTGGGTGCCAAGCAAGGGGGAAGGGGGAGGGCGACAACCACTGTGGTAAGCCCGCATTGGTGTCAGCATTTTCATTTACTACATGAGTTTCCCAGCCCTGTAGCGGATATCTTTAAAATTCCAAGGTAGACCTCGGACCATAAATTGCATAAGTACAAAAATAAAAAATAAAACAATAAAAGCAAACAAATAAACACCTTTTATTTTGTGAGACAAGTTTTCGGACAAAAGCTTCGGGAAAACTCTCAAAACGTTTATGCACCATTTCAATTGAGCGTATCTGCCATAAACAAACAACAGATAGTTAACACTAAGAATTGTGATAAATTGGGAATATGTATTAAAACAAAACAAAAATAGCATGATTAGACAGATGTAGGGAGAACAGAAAATATAACAGACAGACACATACACACAGAGTGAGCAATTGAATGAGATGAGAGAATGGAGTTTCTTATCCCACAAACTTTTAATAGTTTCCTGTAATCACCATACAACGAGCAGGAACTACCCATATGTGGACGAGAAAGAATTCACAACTATTTAGAGTAGATTAATACCTCGCCTAGCCGCGACCTTGCACCCATTACACCACCAATTATGGCTGACAAGAGAGTGTACCATATGTGAATATCCATGAGATAGATCTGGACCATTGAAAAAGAATATTAGAAATGAGAATATGAAGGGTATGCCATATGCACATCCTAAGACACATTTCGATTCAGATAGTAACAAGGGAGAAAGCCCTTAATCTGAGAAAGACAAGAAAGTAAGCATCACACTTGAAGCACAATTTACAACATTCCTAAGGCCAGTTTCAACAAAATCCATCATTCCAGTCTAACATAATACATCTTTCGTGAAGTAGAGCTGAATCCTCTAATTTTGAAGAAGTCTGAAGCTAAAGAAAGAAGATACTCACAGCCACAACAGGAGCCCATAGGCTAGCTACAGTCAATGCATTATGGTTATCTGCCAAAACACAGGTATACATCAATAAAATGTGGCAACATTCTATTTCAAGCACTATCAATCAACCAAAGAAACATTAATAGCAGAAGAATTTTAAATTTTGTAGAAAAAATAAGCACATGGAAGGCTTTATACAAAGAGATCAAGGTTACGCTTTACCTTCCATCTAAGCACAAATAAACTCAAATTTTCCGCTTTAAAAATTAGTTTCTACTGAAAATCAACATGATATTTTTTAATATAAGAGACATCTTATCACTACAACATACCATGATAAAATAAAACCTCAAAAATATAATCGGATAACTTTGAACAGAATGACGAGAGCAAAAGACAACTAGTACCAAGAAATCCACCTGAAGAGCACGTTACTTCTAGTTGCCGGCTTTACCATTTTTAAATTTATAGGAATACGCCTAAAGTGCAGTCTCTTGAAATACCAAGAGTTTCAAGCCATAGCACCTTCCATAAATGGATTTTTGGTGACCACTAGTGAAGATGCAGTGCAATGTGGGTGGTGTGCAAAAATAGGAAAAGTGAGAAAGGTGGCTTAACATAATCTTAATGTGAATCAGACGATATATACAAGTGATCCTGAAGGTAAAGGTAATTTTCCACAACACACCATCCCCAATTAATGATAGACCAATTATTGTAGTGCCCTAAATTTATGGGGCCTAAAGACAAGAATATCAGACTTCTTGTTCCTTTCAACCAGAAAACATGAAAGACACCTTGGATTGACTGCCGATGTCAAGCATCCCAGTATTATTAACCATAAACAAGATCACACAGAGTAAATGAACGTTGAGAAACTCACTCTTTGAGACCAAATCATGCCACGCGTATTCCAAAGATGGAAGGTTCACGATTATTCTTGTGGGTTCAACAAGAGGCTTAATCTGCAGTATACATGAAAAGGATTACAATAAGTCCATCATATTCAGATTACACCCTCAAGCAAAAGGTTATACTACATGAAATTCAAACTCGCCTCAATCAAGAAGAATTACACCTGAAAAGGAATATCTTTAGAGTGTTTGGACCAATATGCCCAAAGAAAAACTAAAAATTTACTTCTACCCAACCACCATTTCCCCCTCCTACCCATAAAAATCTCTTGCTCCAATCCAACAAACATATATCTCATATAAAATTAAACTCTCAACTAATCTACTATGAGCAAAAGCTAGACTTGTTGATCAATTGAAAACTATATTCATTGATAATTGAAACTCAAGATGAGTAAGGGTAGCCTTGCCTGGAGAAAGTAGGTGAAAGTGAACTTGCAGACGAAGATTACCAACCAAAAGAGCACAAACCTGCGAAGTTAGGATTTTTTTAAATATAATGAAAAAAAGGATATTAGGAACTTTTACATATATGTAGATCTCTGAGATAGAAGCGCATATCATAAAATCTTCTGGGATAACACTTAAAAACAAATAGGCAATCAACCATCATATATGTCAAAACAAGAGGCGACATGCATACACGTCAATGCACGAACTGATGTGCATATATAGGCAAACATGAAAATCATATTTAACCAAGCTGTCAAAATCCACAGGCTGGAGTACTGAGAAATCTTCATCACTAAGATCTGTAAACAAGCAAAAAGCTATCTAAACTCCTAACATAATCTGGACACCTGAACCATGCTAAGTCCAATCCGATAATAAATATTCAATTATACAAGTTTCCTTTAACAGAAACAATACCTAGAAAGAGTATAGTCTAATTCTAATATGAAAGACACTCGGCATCAAAGAAAAAAGAAAATAACAAGGCAAGAACAAACTATTAAAATAAACTCTACTAAGCCCTTATCTTAAAGAATTGGTGTTTGCTGAATAAGCCCCTTTTTCCCAAACTACAAGGAACACTCAAGAACTCAAATCACTGGAGACTTTATCCTTAAATAATTAAAGTCAGCTCAACTCAACTACATCAGATTCTTAATAGCAGGAGCACATTGTCAATCATGAAACAAAAGAACTGAGCTCAAAACACCAACAGTCTTAAACAAATAGCCAGCAATACAAAGTTCCAGATTCCCACAAACCTGCAATAATCACTCATCTTTTCATAAAGGCCACGTCCAACAAAGTAACGCTCCTGGAATATGTAAAATTAAGAAAGCATATAATACATGAATCACCATCTTGGCCATAGCCATATAAAATTATTTGGTCCCATTTAAAACCGAACAAAATAGGACTTGCCTGATAAATCCACTTAAAAAATTGGAAGAAGGATTGATCAGACATCTCAGAAAGTGAATGACATGCCGGAAACTTGAGTAATAGTGCAAGGACAATGCGCAAAGCTGCATAAATGCCCAATACAAGAACATATATCCGAAAGTAGAATGAATCTGAGTTTTTGTCATTTCTTTCTTGCAGAACTTTCCTGCAAATATTTAAATTGCAATAGAAATTTATAATATAACAAACAGTTCTTCATTTAAAAATATAGTTCGGGTAAAGTTATAAGATAAACACTCACACATAAATGTATGTCACACCGACAGAGGTCAAGCCAAACCAGAAAAATCTAATTGCAAGTCTAGAGATAGCCATGCCTCTGGCTGTGGTGTAAGCTCCAAACATGAGCAACACATCCAAAAAACCTACACAGGCAGCGCATCACCCAATAAACAAACCAGAACAAATGCAAAACTGGAATGAGTTTTTGAGTTTTAGTTGCAAGAAAAGGTCTGAAGTCTATTTGGAATATGCAAAAAACTTACTCTCCATGAAGTTCATGATAGCAAAGGTTGGCCCGATGCTAAGAACAATTTTAAAAGTTTCCAAATTGATATGTCCACCATGAAAGGCTATAATTGTCAAAGCCTTCAGCAAAGAAGACGCAAATGATGTTAAAATTGAACACTTGTAATCCAAACTAACCAGTAACCATATGTGGAAACACAAACCTGGAACATCAAAGCTAAAAAGATCCACAGGCGATGGAAACTTCGATACAAGTGAAAAAAGGTTCGATGCTCGACGAAAGTGCTTTTTCCGGTCTGCCACTCCAAAGCAATAATCAAAAAGAGGAGGAAAAAAATGGTTTAAGATGTTTTTCCAATTACATAATACAACTTCTATGACCAAAAACAGAAAATCACTACCCACATCAACTTTGTACAAACAGAAAATTGTTATTATCACCCTAATTGTTACTTAGCTACCATATGTAATTGATCAAAATCTAATGCATCCAGCCAAACTGAAATACACATGATTATCACCAAAGAGGTCGACATGTCAATAACTTTATTTGAAATTTGAGCCACCACTTACAGAAACACTATCCAATAATTTCAACATGCTTAATCAAGTCTGTGACACTTCAAAATAAATTCTTAACATTTAAAGAAGGGCGAAAGCATAGCCGAGAGTAAAACAATAGAGAGAACATACAGCTACACAATTTCAAATGTTATTAGCAGGTTAGAAAAAACCGAATGTAGAAACATCTATATGAGATTAGCAGGTTAAACATGAACCCCTTCAAAGTTTCAAATACCTCTTACTCTTTGAGACTTTTTTTAAAAGAAAAATATGAAGTCAAGTTTAAGTTTCAAGCCTTGAGAAGGGTCGAGTAAACAAAACATGCATCAATTTGGCGACAAATTATCAATATAAACTAACCCTTTTCCCTTTTTTAGGCTTCAACAAAAATCGTGAATCCTTCCGCATAGGCCAGCTCAACTCAAAACAAGCAGGTGACCTACAAATTGCAAAAGAAGCGTCACATGACAAATATCATTACTCCATTAAAATAAAAGACAAAAAACATACCAAAAGTATTCATTAAAGTCATCATAATTCCGCCATGAGGAATGTGCAGCTTTCCCATTATTGTTTCTTGCAGCTTCCTGCGTTCAAAAATAAAACAACGCAAAAGTTATTGGCAAGACCAATTTGAGTATATATCAAGGACAGTATATAACTCAAGAACCCTTTGGGAAAGAAAAAAATAACAGAAGAAACTACCATATTAGTAATGCAACCACCTTATCCCTTCTCCATAACAAAAAAGAAATGTGATACCAAAACCCCCATAAGATCACAACATCATAGAGAATAAACAGCTTAATCCATGCATTCAACATCTCAGATTATAGGTACCACACAGACTCCATGATGCCTAAAAATTATCACCAACACAACGAGGATAATTGAAGATCAAGGACTTCAAGAAGGACCCTAATGTAAAGTAACACTTATGAAGGCATTCTAGAATAATCTGATGCAACTTTCTCCTAAGGAGAATACACTGATCTACAGCATCTTAATATAAATAAATACAAAAAACTCTAGCATGCTATTGGCAGTGGCACACCATTGAAAGTAGTGTGATCTTTATTCAAAATATCAAAAGAAAAAAAAAACACATACACGCACACACCTAAACAATTGAAGATCATTGACATGCCATCCAATAGAGTTGGCAAATCTTGGTATATCTAGTTTATTTTGTTGAAAACAGGCTTTAGTGCTTCAATATTTTAGAAGTATAACATGCTGCAGAATTTGACATTAATGAAACTCTTGAGGATTCAAAATACTACAGCCTTGTAGTTTTCCATTACCCTGATTGAAAAAACAGCAAATCAAATTCTAATATCAACAAAAAGACACCGAAAGATGCATTGAATATACAACACAGAGTTTGAAATACAGATCCACTAACCGCTGCCAATGTTTCATATATAGGATGAATGATTTGCTCAAGGAAGGATACAGATCCAGACTCCGTTCTGCAGCTGGCAGCAGGATTAGCTTCTCCATGATCCAATATTGCATCCAACTCTTTGGCCATCTGCAGGACCGTAAGATGATGTCATCTATCATGAGTAATAATTTTTATTTTTAAAGAATAAAGCAAGTTATGCTTTTTTTACGTCTTCTTGCACCATCAAACAGATACAAACAATTTACAATAAAGGACAATGGCATCATATATATTTCACTTGAACTTGCATATTATTCAGAGAAAAGCCAAAAAGCTTAAAATTCAATTTTTTTTTAAATAGCAGGCAGATTCAAAGAACTATGATGTAGTCGGATGAAGTTGATGTTCCCAAAAATCAATCTGTTAATACAGTACAGCATAACAGAAAATTACAACAAGAAGATATTTAAAAAATAAGAAAAACAAAACAATTTTTAAAAATAAATAAACAAATATGTAAAGCGTCTTTAAATGAAATGAGCGCATTAAACTGCAAATTGAATTTAACCAAAAATGTTTTTAGACTTACATGGTGAAATATGTAGCAAATACATTCAGGAAGAAAGCGGACATTTGCAGCTTCACCCCATATCAGAAAGTACAAGGAAACCAGAAAAAGTTTCCTGTCTTGATCAATTGCTTCTAAACTGTGGAAAAGTATACATGCAATTAGCAGTATACAAAAGAATTAAGTAATATGAAAACATTAGAGAGTTGAAATTACCTATTCCATGCAAGTCGTATCCGCAGGTATCTGCACCATTTTATATAATTATCTAGAACTTTCAGAAATACCTCATTGACTGCTTTTTCATCTATTTTCTGAGCACACCAAAACATAAATATATCAGTAACCTTCACATCTTTTCTTTCGGTCAAAGCAGTAAGCTTCACATCTAGAAGACTATTTCCATGCCCATAGGCCCCATACAGCATCAAACCGTTCATGCCAATAAATTATAAGCAACTAAACTATCATACCTCTAAAGGAAAATTGAATCTCAAAATCACATACATCTTATGAGAGCAACGTGAGCATTAGCAATACAAGTAAAAAAGGTAGCTCAAAATGCACAAGACCCCGGCAGTGCAAGAGTCTAGAGAGGGTCAGATGAATATAGTCTTCCCCTATTTGCAGAAAGCCTGTTTCCTACTTCAAACCTGAGCTCTCCAGGTTGCAATGTAGAAGCCATACCATTGCACCAAAACTTACCAGGCAGGCTAGTGTACAAGGCCCCTAACAGTCAGTGGTCTGGGTAGGATTAGGTGTACACAGTCTTACCCCAACTTACAAAGATATTGTTTCCATTAACCAACATAAGTTTTCCATGTAAATATCCTTTTCACATATGCTTGATATTAGATGTTCGAATTTCTTCAAACTACAACTTAAGTTTATAAATACTCCAGAAACTGAACAATGCCTCAAACTTATGTTTTGGAATTATTTGCTTCACAATAATAGAAGAAGCTAGTAAGGCCTTAAATGGGGAAAACCATTCACTCAAAATTTAGATTTAAGTAAATGGGAAAGTAATAGGTGTAACAAATAATGACATGTTCGTTCAAATGAATACAAGAAGGATAATCAGTAGCCCATGTTATAAGAATGACATGTTCACTCACTGGATTAGCATCAACAGGTACACCAAGCTGAGATTGTGTATTTGCAACTGTAAGAACAACGTTCTCTCTCTGATTCCTTACGTTGTCTTTCTGTAAAATTAACCAGAACAGTTATCAAAAGGGATAGATTAAAGATGCATAAGAATAGCAAGTGGAATTGAAAATATATGCATAGCATAGTGCTATATTTACCACACCACAAAACTGCAGATATAATTAAGCTTATGGAAAATGTTAAGAAACACAAACCTGAAAACCAAACACACATTCCAACAGATCAAACATGTCAGCATCTCGTTGTCCAGATATCTCAAAAGCAGCAGGAAGTCTGGGGAATTGCTCAGTATATCTAATTGCAGATATTGCACCTCTCACCTGATGAGATTAGATACAAGTTCAAAAATGTTAGTCAGAAGTAAGTTTAATGATTCAACAATACAATGCCTACAAAATAGCTGCATCACAGAGAATAAGACAAGTTTCACAACACAAAAGGCACTTGTTAATTGTTGTTTGCTATTTATGAAAACCAACATTAATCTTTTTTGGATCATACATAACCAAAGATAGATCAAATGCAAAGTGAATGTAACAGAACTCTTAAAGGAGATGAAGAACATGAGGCATGACATATATAATTCAAGTCAAACTTACTTCCGGGAAAACTCCAATGGCATTGGTCAATGATGGTGCTTCAAGAGGCACAATATTGTAGGCCAAATCCCCAGACAATGTTGCATCGGTGTTTTTAATTCTTCGCAACTGGAAACCCACAGATCAATGAACACAGTCAATTGTCATCATAAAATGAAGCTAAAACAATATTGCCGAAAATAGTTGGGAAGGTGAACTGATATAAGTCAATATAAGATCAATTTTAGTATACTATATAAGGTCAAACTTTGCCAAGTGCAAAGGATTTTAGAGACAAACAGGCTTTCAATAGTAAACCATTTATTGAACATCACATCCAAAAGTAGGAGGTAAAAGGAATAACACCTCCTCCGTAATAAGTCTCCCAACTCCATTAGGATCTGCATCTTTGCTAAGTGCCTCCATCACTTCAACTATAGCCCTCAAGGTGGCAAATGTCTTTTTCATTTCTAAATAACTGAGCTCCAATATGAAACAACAAAACAGTTAACAAATAAAATCATAACAACAAAAGAGGAGGGGAAAGGTCTATTAAAGCAAAACATGATGGCCATACTCGCCAAGGCCAGCACTAAAAGTTCCAGATTCACGCCATCTTTGTTCCTGTCTCTGGATATCATCTACTTTATGTCGTCGTTTGTACCGCTGGTAAAAGTCCCAAAGGTGCTCAATATCATGATTACGATCTATTTGACCCCCATCTCTTTTTGCAAGTTTTGCCTGAAACAAAAAGCCAAATACTCATAACTTAGTATATATTACTTATAAGAGAGGAACAAAAATACACTATGCACAACCTATCTTATAATCATAATAATGTCACTGCATCAATAAACATGACACTAATAGCATAAATAGGCTCATGCAAAAATTACCAATCACTAATTAGAGCTTAAGTGATACCTTGATTACAGACATCAATCCAGTCTTAAACTGAAGAACACCTCTACCATCACTTTTCGGATCCAGATTTTGCGCCATACCATACGCCTGCTCACACACTAAGACCCAAATAATATAAATGTTGTCAATACATAAATAATCCAACAAGCATATAAGTATTCTAAACAAAACACATACTCCAGCAAATACACCACCAAACCAAACATTCCAGCAATTAAACAAAACATCAAAAATTGGTTGAACAGTACTGAAATAGTTTTCTGAAACAGCAAATGCTACTGAATTAGCAGCATAGTATAATTCCCGACTTTTCTATGTCTTTACAATAATTCTCAAGCTCAATTAGCTAAACTTAGCTCAAGAGCTTAAAGTTTATATTAACACATCAACCCTTAATGCATGTTTAAAATTTGAACTAAATTGTAACCGAATATTTTATGCAAGGCAGAAATAGCAACAATTAGAATGGCACCACCAACAATTGAGCACTGAAAAAAATCAACATTAATTTTAAGATATTCGAAATGAAAAGGCTTACAAATCCTGGAGACGTTGGGGTCCTCAGCTTGAATCGCATCGGCAGCTTGTAAGATCGCATCGATGTTCGTGGTCTTTCCCAGCGATGGTGGGACAGCGCCGGCGATTCCACTAGGAACCCTCTCGTGGCCTTGGCCGGAACTTCTGAGCTGCTCCCTCTTTAGTGTGGCCCGCACCAGCCGCTCCCAATTGTCGAAAACCCTAGCCATGTCTGCGAGCCCGGCTCGGACGAATTGGAGCTCTAGATTTGAATGGTCTGACTGGGTAAGACTGAGTCGAATAGGTGACCGTTCTGAAATGGAATTAGGGGGTTTGGATCTGATAGAGGTTTAACGAGGAAACGCGAAGAACGGAAAGGGAAATGAGGAAGACGGAATTGAAATTACGAAATTGGCCTTTAAGGTTTAAAAACGTAAAAGCAAAGCCTTTTGGTCTGCGAAGCGCGTAATGGTGGTGAAGCTTCTTTTTGGGCTAACAAGCTAGCCAAGCGCGTGTTTACTAATTTGATACACGGTCCCGCCCAAAATAAGACGAAATAAAATAGGTATTGACTTTTGTTATTCACGATTAAATGTCTAACCCTAAACCTAAATCATCATTTTAAACTTTTTTTATGGATCTGGATCATTTTTAAACTCTTAAACAAAACAAAAATATTGCTATAAAGAAAAACACTAGTTACTATAAATATAGTGCAAACCTCCCTTGTGGTTGAATATTAAGGTATGATTCCAAATTGAAATATTTAAATACTAATTATTCACTAAAGAAATAATAACTACAAGCTAATCACTAATTATATTAATTATATAAGACTAAGATATTACTTCTTCTTCTTTTATTGCTAAAGAAAAATACTAGTAACGATAAATACAATGCAAAGCTCCCTTGTGGTTGAATAAGGAATATTCAGGTGTGATTCTAAATTTATATTGCCAAAGTACTCTTGTTTCCGTACAACTGATTTATGAATTTTTTTTTTAGGAATTATAAGATGAAATTTATGTGATTATTATCATTAAAAAAAATATTTTCCAAATGCATGATAATGGGACTTCATCCCATTATCAAATCAAACATCAAATTTTTGGAATATATTTTTTTTAATACGCGTGTTAGTTCAGATTATAAAGAGAAGTGAGAATTGACACACACACACTACAAAAGTTGTCATGTCATGGAAGTTCAAACATGAGGTCATGCGTCTACAAATAAATGCCCTTTTTAAGTAAACTGGATCATGTTGACCAAATGTTTGGAATATGTTTAAACAAGCTTTGTAATTATCTTCATATTTTGTAATTCCTTCGAAAATGAATTAAAATTGTTTTTGTTTGGTGAAAAATAAACACAAAAAGAAAAGAAAAAGCCATTTAGGAAAAGAGAATAAATAAAAGCCGATGTGTGAAACAGAAGACGACGTCGCTTGACCTCCTCTGAAAGTTTGGACTGGACTTTGAAGCACTCTGCATATACGAGATTTGTGACCGACCGGTTCCCTTCAACGGAAGGTCAAGACGGTGCATTTCGAGCCCTGAAACTCACCTGACTTGTTGAGTTTCAGTGCAAAACCCTAGAACGACTCAAACCGCACACAGGGAAGGGAAGTCACCACTCCAAGTGAGTAAGGGTTTCTCACTCAAATTTTGGAACTTTGTGTCGTTTTAGTGCTAATTCCATGCGATTAAATACGAATTAAACATTGATTGATGTTTGAGATTTTTTAGTGTTTGATCCGTTTGGATGAGTAGAAAATAAAGGAAAAGTTTTTTTTTTGAAAATTTAAATTTCGTTTGATTTTTTAATTTTTTTAATTTGATAAGTTGTCATGGTTCAAACATATCAAACTGGCCGAGTAAGCAAGTTAGTCAGGAGTGGGTTTGCAGGAGTTAGTTTTCTGTTAGTTCGTTATTGGGATTGGGCGGGAAAGGGAGAGCATTGTGTATAAATGTAGCAAAGGTGTTTGATATTAAGTCATTGAGAAAGAAAGAAAGTTTCAGAGGCTTCCCTGCAACAAGAAATTCCCTTTATTTTTCACTGTGATCATTCAAGATCACCATGAATGATCACCTTCACCAGTCGGGCTGGTGCATATGGATATGTTTAGTTCATTTAGAAGCCTATTTCTGCAATTCGACATCTTAAGATCGTCACACAAGGTTTTTTTTAGAAAACATTTATATAATGTTCATTGGCATATTATGGCTTTTCTAATCAGCCAGTTTAGTGGTTTTCTTGTATGTCATTATTCAATTGGTTATCTGAGATTGTCACCTCCTTGTTTGGAAGACATATGAACTTAGATATTTGTAGAACCCCTTTTTGTTCTTTCACTCTAAGTTTACTTAGTGCTATTGTAACGTAAGCAGGTGCTTCTTTTGTATGCTTTGTATGTTTAGCTAGGTTTAATCATTTGGGAGATAATTTTTTCTCTTTTATAATCTTTCTGGCCATTGAATTGTTTCTTGCCTTGGAACAAGTAAGAGGCTGTCTTCTGTAAATTAAAGATTTAAATATTCTACTGTTAGATTTAAATTGGCCCTTAAGTTGGGATGAATCATCATGTAAATGGATATGCTTTTCTTAAGTAAGTTTTATGGTGTGCTGAACAAAGTGGCTGAATGATCTGTCTGTTACCTAGATCTTCTGTTCTGTCATGGCTGCCTTTTCTTTTTGGTTCCTTAGGCATGTGGATCTGTCCTATTTATGTTCTTAAGAGGTGCATTGGTTCAAATTCATCTTGGATCTCTCAGTATTTTTTTTTAAAGGAATAAGTTGAGGCATTATCTAGGCACTTTCCAAAATAACAGGTTGAAGGTTTAATGGATAACCTGATTTTCTTTAATTTCAAATTGTTTTGATGTTGATTGGAATCTTTTGAATAGGCTATGTCTGGCTCTGAACCTGAGAGTCCAGAAATGGAGCCAATACAAGCCAATCCTGCTCTGAGGAGGCCTCGGATTCTACTTGCTGCTAGCGGGAGTGTAGCGGCCATAAAGTTTGGCAACCTCTGCCATAGTTTTTCTGAATGGGCAGAAGTAAAAGCAGTTGCCACAAGAGCATCCTTGCATTTCATTGATAGGACATCACTTCCCAAGGATGTAATCCTGTACACCGATGAGGATGAGTGGTCCAGTTGGAACAAAATGGGTGATAGTGTGCTTCACATTGAGCTCCGCCGTTGGGCTGATATCTTGGTTATTGCCCCATTGTCAGCGAACACACTAGGCAAGGTAGCAATCTGGAAATCTTGTGCATTTATAAAGTTGTTTTAGCAACAGGATGAGATAGGTGACTCAAACTATCATCTTCTGTATAACTTTCAAATTTTAGTTGTCATTCCCTCCATTTGTTTTTTTATGGCAAGAATGAGATAATGGAATCGGGGTTTTTCTTGTAGATTGCTGGGGGATTGTGTGACAATCTACTCACCTGTGTTGTACGAGCATGGGACTACAGCAAGCCTTTCTTTGTTGCACCAGCCATGAACACCTTGATGTGGAAGAATCCCTTCACGGAGCGACATATCATGTCAATTGATGAACTTGGAGTGTCGCTCATCCCGCCTGTCACAAAGAGGCTGGCTTGTGGGGATTACGGAAATGGAGCAATGGCTGAACCTTCGTTGATTTATTCTACTGTAAGACTCTTTTTCGAGTCTCGAGTTCAACAAGGTGGCAGTGTTGTTTAGGAAACGGTATAATAGAAGTAAAGTTGCCACCATCTTGAGATTCGATGACAGACTTTAACTTGAGAGACCCGATGACAAAATTTGGCTTGGTATGCATAACATGCTAGAATTGTTTTTGCGGGTTGTTTGATTTTGTGTTAGGTGCATATGGTGTTTTGGTATCTGAACCAGGCTAATTATATATCTAGAATTGTATTAGTTTATTTGAATTCAGCTTTTCACTTTAGGATTTGGCCCGGCATTTGGTTCTATTCTACCTCTCAGAAGAAATTATCCATGTCTTAGGCGCTACTGATAAATAAAGATAATAATTCCAAACTATTCAGATTTCATGCACAAAGTACAAACCAATCAAACTTAGGAAGATTTTCATTCTTGCAACTTGCATCAGGCTTATTGTCATGCTTGTCCGAACGATCAAGCCTGTAAAACGACAAAAAAGAACACCAGAAGTTTTGCGTTAAGTAAAATTAGCCAAGATGTATCTAATATAATTACCAATCAGAAGCAAATATTTTGTTTGAGGGACTTGTAGTAATTTCTTACGTCATTGCAACTGAGCTGATTTGTAGATCGCCGGTCGGTTTGAAAGAATAATATTTGAAATAATAAGTTTCGTTTGCCTTGATATCTGCATTGACGCGAAATCCTTCACCAGGAGCAAGGCTTGTAACGCGCAGTTGGAACACCACTACACGTACACAAAACTTGTTCGACGGGTCCCAGCCACCACTCATTATGCACATAAGCCCATCATCACCACTCATATGGCTGACGAAGGTTGAGGGAAACTCTAGACAAGGCTGCCATAACACCTTCCGAAGCTCAACTAGCTCCCCAACCGGCTTCGGGATGCCGTTGATCGGATCCAAACTATAAGCAATAACATCTCCACCCCAATAAGGGGCGTTAACCAGAAAGTCCTTGAATTCTGCAAAACGAGAGGCAGATGCCTTCGGGACGCCAGATGCAATTGCATCATCCTCCTCCTCCCATTTATTTTGAAGGGTGTCAAAAACGTAATAACTTCGGTTTAACCAGTGCCTCACAACGAGGTTGTCGCCCCAAGAACATTCAAAAAGGACAACACCAGTACCAACGGGGAAGGGAGGATTAGGGAGGACTGTCCACAACCCGGTAACCGGATCGAAAACCTCGAAGAGGGCTGGCGATTCTTCTTCCACTTCGTACCCGACAGGCTCCGTGGACAGGACATAGATTTTATCCTTTAGGGTGACCACCACAGGATTTATCTTGGGAGCAAAAGTCATGGGAAGTGTAGTTTTGTTGCCCTCTGTGGGTTCACAGTCAATGACTTCAAGGTTGGGTTTAAAAGGTTCGCTAGGACGCTTGGGGCAAGACTTACCTCCCACAATATAGGGTTTGGAATTCACAATTATATATCTCATGCCTTCTGGTAAATTCCTTCCGTCCGGAAAATAAGAGCCATGAACAAGTTTAAACTCGGGCCTCGGAGAACTCCTTGCCAACAATTTACTAAGATCTAGAACCAATAGGTCATCGTCCATGTTAACATAGAAAAACCAATCCTTCTCCTCCGCCATCATCATCTTCTTCTTCAAGAATTCTCTCTTTTTGTTCAGAGGTAAAAGCAACAGGAGAACGCAGCCTAAACCCTAATTACAATATTAATATTGTGACCGCAACAAGTCATGAAATCTTTGAAGCTTACCTAAAAACCTAGAGAAATTCGGAAGCGACGAGTTCTAATATAAGAATGTGTGTTGCCGCCAAAATTTACATGCACTACGAAAAGAGAAGCAAAAGGAATTTCTGATTTGGGCCTTCATATGGTATATTGGCATCCAAGGAAATAGCGTAAGGCGTTGAATCCAATCAACCCAAAACACGTTCTTGGACACAGCTATGGCGGGCCAGCCCAATGCGTTAATAGGCCCCAATTAAAAAAATAATTTTAATCCTCTAAAAATTTAAACTAACATAATTGAACAAGTTAAAATGCATCCGGTTGTAAACAGGTGGACACGACCCATTTATTAAATAGGTTAATTATGTCATAATCGAGTTAGGATTGACCAAAACTCACTCATTTATTTACAATGTTTTGGAAGGTTGACTCAAATTGTCCTTGATCCTTTTATGAGTTGATCAAATTATTGTGAATTTGCTATAGTCTATTGTGCCGTATATTTCACGCAATTGTAGTGGAGCCCTTTCTTAACAAGTATCACAAAGTTCTCCTGGCTATGACTTGGTGCAGCCACGCATATAGAACACACATCATACACATCATGTTTAGTGACGTTAACTTGGCTAGTTGATACCATCAAACGCTTCCGAACATATCTTTAGCTGCCTAAAGATAGCATTCGACCATGTTCTCATGTGAGAAATATTATAAGATCATCAATGGTGTACAATTCGCCACGCACGATTTAATAATGTAACGTCAATTATATGTATGATGTTACATGCATCAACGATACATAGCTATTATGTGTGTGGCCTACAGACGCTAGAGTCGAATACCATGCCTTTTTACCTGCATGCCCTGTGCTTGTGGCTTTCGTTGAATATGGCCATGACTATCATTTAACACAGCCATCTGCAAAAGAGTGCTATGTAAATGAGGTTTCTTATTGTGGGCGAGGTCATAGCGGTGGTTGCAATATTTAAGATGTGCATCAAAGCACCGACAGTCTTGTGAGGCCAAATGTATAGAAGCAAAAGAATAAAGAAAATTACTCTCTCTCTCTCTCTCTCTCTCTCTCTCTCTCTCTCTCTCTCTCTCTCTCTCTCTCTCTCTCTCTCTCTCTGAAAATCTGCTGAAAGAAAAAGAAGTTTTGTGTGGACACTTGCTCATTTAAGGCCCAACTATTTTTCCTTCAACTACTTCAAGATATTTAGCTCCGAATTTATAACTCTCACCTCCCTTCCTTTCAACAGAGAAGAGTTTTGTGTTCTATTTGAAAAGAAAACAGTGTTTGCTCTCCTTAAACACCTCTTTCACAGTGTTTAACAATCTTTAACATAAAGGAAATGAATGTATGAGGTTCTTGTTGTATATTGGATTATGAAGGATAAATCTTCTTATTTCCAGCTTAATCAATCCATAAATTATATGTTACTGCTAGTTAATAATTCATGGACGGTCTTATGTTGGCAGTACATACAGAGTTTTTAAGATGAAAAATATAGGTGGAGGACATATTTGCCATTTTGAAAAATATAAAAAGTATATAAGCCAGAGTACATACATGCAGAGTGAAAAGCCAGCTGGCTAGTGAGTAAAGCTTGGAAGCCTTGAGAAGAGTTAGACAATGGCTTCTTCTTCAGTCACATATTTCTCTTGGAAAAACACCCTCATTGCCATCACCACCATCTTCATCCTCTCCTCTTCTTCTTGTTCTGCCTCTCCTGCCACAACCAAAGTAAACCCAAGACCAAGACCCTTCAAGAAAATCTATGCCTTTGGTGATTCATTCACAGACACAGGCAACACAAAATCTGCCACAGGCCCTAGTGGTTTTGGCCATGTCTCAAACCCTCCATATGGCATCACTTTCTTTCACCGCCCTACCAACCGCTACTCCGACGGGCGGTTAGTGATCGATTTCATAGCTGAGTCACTGTCCTTGCCTTACTTGAAACCTTACCGTTCCATAATGAGCAATGCTACAGATGCTGCTCAGGGGGTTAACTTTGCTGTTGCTGGCTCTACAGCCATAGAGCACCAGTTCTTTGTCAAGAACAACCTTAGCCTTGCAATCACTCCTCAGTCTATCCTAACCCAGCTCCTCTGGTTTGACAAGTTCTTGGAAAGCCAGGGCTGCAAAGTGGCTGGAGCAGCATGCAAAGCAGCAGCTTTTGATGATGCACTTTTCTGGGTTGGTGAAATTGGGGTCAATGATTATGCTTATACCGTTGGATCTGATATACCAGGTGATACCATCCAACAGCTTGGGATCAGTAGAGTTACTAATTTTCTGCAGGTAGGACTTTGGCTATATGGATTTAGGTTGCTTTCCAATATATGCTCTCCATGTCAAATCCTAAATTGGATCCTAATTCTAAATATTAAGACAACTTTGTGTTTGATATGAGTTTAAAAAACATAAGTAGAGGATCCAATTTCGACTTTGGCTAATTGGACGGTGATGTTTCTGTTACTTTGCAGGCATTGTTAAAGAAGGGTGCAAAGTATGTTGTTGTGCAAGGCCTGCCACTCTCAGGGTGCTTGCCATTGGCCATGACCTTAGCTCCCGAAGACGATAGAGACAGTATAGGATGTGTGAAGAGTGTAAACAACCAAACCTATAGCCATAACCTTGTCCTCCAAGCCAAGTTGCAACAACTCAGGACACAGTTTCCCCATGCTGTCATCACCTATGCTGATTACTGGAATGCCTATTTCACAGTCATGAAGAATCCAAACCAGTATGGTTTCAAGGAGAGCTTCAAGGCCTGCTGTGGGACAGGTGACCCCTACAACTTCGAGGTGTATGCCGTGTGTGGCACACCGTCTGCTAGTGCCTGTCCAAGCCCTTCCCAGTACATAAACTGGGATGGAGTTCATCTCACTGAAGCCATGTACAAGGTGCTTACTGATATGTTCCTCAATGGCAAGGCCACTCACCCTCCCTTCAGTTACTTGTTGGACATGAAACTGCGTCATGGATGAACTGCTCGCCTTTGGATCAGCTTAATGTTTTAGTACTTTGCTGTGTTGCTTGTGATCAGAGTGTTTATGAAGCAAAAGAAAAAAAATCGGATGGTATAATCGGCGCTAGAGTTACTACTGCCTGAGAACACTTCTCAGACTTCCATAATTTAGAATATCTTCTAAAAATTTTACTTGTTGAACTATTGATCGAATCTTACTTGTTTCTAAATATTTGTTGTTCGGGAGGAATTGAACCTATGAAATCGCCAATATTTATCATCGAAAGCTATTGAATCAGATTCAACAAAGGAAATGATGCACACTTGGTGCCATGGGATTTAATCATCCAAGAAAGGTTAAAGAAGAAAAATTGTTATCTCTGTGCAAATGAACTCCTCACTAAATGCAACATGGGAGTCGCATGGCCTGATGGCCTTTCCATCACAAAATCAAAATTGCATGATAAAAGAAGTGACTCTTCTGATATATATAATTTTTATCTCTTACACAGAGCATGTACATTATTTTGCACAAGGTGAAGTCAAAAGAAATTTTCAATGTGAAAGCCTCGCCAGACTCTGTACATGTGATGGTTGGCAATTCTCTCTCTATACACCATATTTTTCTAGCATGTTTGATCAAATTAAGTACTCATAATACATTAAGAATAGAGCATCCGGGAGATCTTTTGGCAGGCTGTTAATAAAAAGATAGAACCGCAACATATCCTCCTTCAACACAGTTTGAGTGTCAACCACATCACTGCCGCAGGTCAGAACCCACAAGTCCCCTGAATTCACTCTCTTTATACTTCCCCGGCAGAACGGGCACGATTCCGATCTTGTGTTCCTATAACACATAAAGATGCAAATATGTGACAAATGTTATAAATAATGTGCCCCATCATCATACGGTGATACTGGATGAGACTAAAGCAGAAAAAGGAAGAACAACTATTTTTGGGGATTAAGGAAGAACTAGGTTATTCATACCAATCGCGGTAGCAATTAATGCACATGGCATGGCAACAGTTTGGCAAAACCATTTTGGTACAAGGCTCCAAGCAGATGCCACACTCATTTTCTCTCTCCAAGTCTGCATCTGAAAGCTTTATATTATCCTCATATCTCTTCCTAACAGCCATCTCTAGAGCTTCCTCTTGGGTGATATCCATCTCCAATGAATCACCATGGAGACGCTGAAGGGATGGTAGTATAACATCTGCAGTTTAGGTTGGGAAGACATGAATAAAGATGAATTTCACAAATGCGGCAGCATGTAACATTACGCAAAGTTTGATGACAATTAAAGTTTAAAAGCAGAAAGGCTACACCCCAAATGCAATGCTTTATGAAAATTGGAAAGCAGCAGGCAAAATGAGATCCATTTAAAGAAGGGAAGCTGTTAAGTATTTTAAGCATCAATATTGTTCAAGCAGGATCTTCAACAGATATTAAACTACTAAAAAGAGTAGAGATGTAGTTTACAAACTGTAGAATTCGCTGACGGTGGCTTTCCTTCCACATGAAGAGATATTTGACCTCCCATCTGTGCGCACCTGAAGACATATGAAAGCAAACACAGAAACATTCAAGAACTTGGATTTCATTCTTACGAGGGGGCAAACATTAAACTACTAATTTGCTCTAGAAACAAATGAACCGGCAAGCAGAAACCAACCTTATATACAATTATGTGGAAAAGATTTAAGTAACTTGAAAGTAAACATGAAGAGGAGCAATCAATCCATTGAAGCAAAAACAGGAAAATGGGTGCCAAGTGATTGTAAACCAATTTCATTTGAAGAACCGTACCACTCTTGCGTCTGGGGATGGAAGCTGCCCTGCAAACATATATTTATTCAAGTAACATCAAAAGTCACTTAACTTCATCAACCATAAAAAAGGTCTATTAACTCAGCAAAACATTCGAATGGTCAGCAACAAATTCATAAAACAAGGTAAGCAAGGAACCGGACGTCGTGCTCCTAAAACCATGGACCGAACCTCAGGCCACTTTTAACATTGCAAATATTCAGCAAACCCCCAACATTAGTATAGCCAGCAGAGAATGTATTGATAAAATAACTGGGGGAATCCAGTAGTATATATCCAAGATTATGTACAGAAGACTTGCAAACTTCCTAGCATGCTCATTATCCAACATAAAGATCAAAGCTTGTGAATTGGGGTCAACATGACAACAAATTTTGGAATTCATTTAGCATAACGATGACAGCGAGGACGGTATGCAGATTATGTCCACATACCCAAATAGATATTAGTTTCAGAACAAATAAAAATACTGAAATGCAAAATAACTATTTTCTTTTCTCTCTTTCTTCCCCAATTCTTTTTTGCAGAAACAATCCATCAAAACCAAAACCAAAATTATTAAGGAAATAGAAACCCATGCGTTATTGCACAGCAGGATTCAACCTCAAAATAGTAAATGTAGAATATGGAAGACAAACCATTACAAAACATTACATTACTAAGAGTACGAACTCAGAAGCCTATAACTTTATTTCACGTTTTTCAAACCCAGTTTCAAAATACAATATAAACACAAAAAAGCAAATTGGAAAGGAAAAAATAGGAAGGGGGTGCACTCACAGCATATTGGCATGCTGAATATCAGCCTCAAGAACCTTAAGAGAATCATTGTAAGGACTAGCAGCAAGCTGCTCGTAATAATCCAACATTTCACACTCCTTCTTAGTCAAATTTTAAACCTTTAAAGATGAAAAAAAAAAAAAAAAAAAAGAAACAAAGAGAGAGGCAGAGAGATGATCAAGAGAAGGGAAAGTAAAGAAACCCAAGAGAATTGGTGGTCTTATGTGCACAAATGCAATGAAAATTCTTGGGTCTTTGCAAAGAATGGTCTTTGGAGCCTAGAAGTAGTTGTGAGGCCAAGGGGACAAACCTGTCATCAAAACCTAATCTTCATCAAACTCTATATAATAACAGTGAGAGGGGGAGATAGACTTGGTCTTACTTTTGCTGTTTCGAATTTGATTTGTTGATTTGTTTTGATTATCCACTTAAAAGTTTGATTTTTTTGGCTTTCTAAAACTTGCCCTTTGACTGCTTTCATTGCCTTGGTTGAGTGGTTATGAGTAGGTATTTTCTGCTTCCAATCAGAACCATCTATTTTGGTCAGAATAATGGGAAAGATAAACTGCAGGCAATAACAGGAACAGGACCACATTGCTTTTTGTAGTTTAAGCTTTATTTTTTGAGCTGGGCCAGTTTCATGGGCTTGCATAAAACCCAAATCCAATGCCTTGACTTCTGTTAACATGAAAACCAAGCCACAGTACTACCACACGTGGACATCGTTCGTTTCATGCGACACAGCTTGACCCGACAAAACAAAAACAAAAACAAAAAGAAGAAGCTTAATAATGAGTGTGACTGGTGAGTGGCAAGCCCTTGCCGGACCTTTCAAAGACGTTTTTCAGAGAGGACTGAACCCAAAATCACTAAAAATGTCTTCTTTCGAAAGAGCTTCTTAGTACTGTTGGTAAGTATGCTTCACAATTGAGCTCATTTTTGTTCTTGCAAAAATTTCTCTGTCAGTGAATTTAAGTGCTTTGCTAACTAGAATGAGGGATGTTTATACTAGGATCGTGTTTGTTTCGTGAAAAAGGTCCTAACTTTAAGCGAAAGAAAGTTCCTTTTTGGTTTTCTGGTACCATACATGTTTGTTTTGGTCATGATCGTGAAGCTTTGAAGGTACATTGCTTTTGTTTTTGCGAAAAATTTTTTTTTTGGAACCTTTTCCCCCCCCCCCCCCCTCCCACCTCTCTGTCTTCTTTTTCTCTCTTTCTCACTCTCTCACACACACACTCTCCATGGGTGCTCTTGCTCTATTATCTCCTTGCGTTCCTGATGAGGATGATATTTTGCTCAAGAACGCTGTTGAGGTGCAACATATTGTTTTTGTTCATTATGTTGCTTAAATTGGTTCCATCCTTCGACCCGTTTCAAAAAATTTGATGCTCTTGCTCCATCTCTCCTTGCAAGTTGCATCCTTGTAGCTTATTAAAAACCTGAATTTTGTTGGCATTTTTTTCTTCTTCATATGATATTATGTTTGTATCTGTTATGGGTTTTCAAATTTTGGGGTTTTTTTAATGAATTTTTTTGGGGTTTTAGTGTGACGTGTGACATGGAGAGAGAGAGAGAGAGAGAGAGAGAGAGAGAGAGGTCAGGGAGATTGAAAAAATTTATGGGGGAGGGGTTGGGGTTTTGTTTTCTTTGCGGGTTTGTTGATTGCTTTGCTGGATACTTCTTTTTCCATTTAAAGATTTCTTTAAATTAATTTTGTATTTTAACTGCTAATTTTTCTTTTTCTAAAACCTTTTTCCTTTCTCTCGTGAATATGTGACATTTTTTTACAGAAGATGGGGTGGAGTTAAAAAATCTAACGGTGAGGGGGAGATTGACTTATTTTATTTAGTTAATTTACCGAAAAAAGTGACAAGGGGCAAATTGACAATTTTGTCATAGTTCAGGGGCAAAACCGCAGTTAACCCTTACATTTTTGAAGCATTGCATGCTAGTTATTTTGTTCTTGAGCTCTTTGAAATAATCTCCTTTGAGGTTGTGCTTCTTTTTCCCTTCTTTGAATGACATTATTGTGTCATTAGAATACCGTAGTAATTTATCTTTTTTTATTTCTTGTAGTGGTAAAAGTATTCAATAGAGCAAGAGAAGAGATGGATGGCAAGGTGGCTTGTGTAGAATGCACTCAGAAGTGTTTGCTGGATCATGGGAACAAGAAGAAAGCTTCACCTGATGTTGCCTCTTTTTTCAAAGTCATGATTGGAGATCGGTTTTCTAAACTTTTGGTACGATAAATTGTCCTCCCTAGCCCCCTAAATCCTATTCTATTTCATTTTTATCTCTATAACCCGTCTTTTTTTAAGTCTAGGCTATATATTTTATGAGCTTACTAATTAATGGCTTCAAGATGATAAACAAATTCGATTGTATCTCTTCTTTTGTGGAGATGACATTCCCATGGGAAGTCCTTATTTAAACATCAATATTTTTCTTTCGAGAATTATGTAAACTATGTGATGTAGTAGACTGTGGAGAAATTCCTGCAAAAGCTTTAACTACTTTTTCTTTTTCTCACGAATATGATAAGTATACTTTACTAGTAATATGTAATTTCTGCAGCTCCCTTTTTTCCCCTATGATGAACTAGAGATTGCCTCGTCTAAGCTGACTATATTATCTCGTTGCAGTTCTTGCCTCCTAAATTTGCTCCTACTGTCTCAGCATTGGTTAATCAAAAAGCTGTTCTTGAAGATTCACTGGGGCTGCAATGGGAAGTTATAATATCCAGAATTAATGGCTCCCTTTCTCTTAAACAAGGATGGAATGCATTTTCATTAGACCATGATCTAAAGATTGGAGAATTTCTGATCTTCAATTACATCACAAGTTCACATTTTGTTGTTAAAATTTATGACAAATCTGGGTGTGAGAAACTCAACTTTCCCGAGGCCATAAATCAGAAGAAAAGGACAAGGGATAACAGAAACTATACCTTCAAAGCTGGTCCGAGTCACACAATTGATAGAAGTTCAATGAAGAAACGGGATTCAAGAACCTCTGTTGTGTATGGCTCAGATGCAGATATAGGTCACCGCCTGCATGAGACGAATGACACGGGGAAAGCTCTAATTGTCACAGAAAATGCTTCAACCCGTGATAATAGTAATGAAAGGTCAAAGCTCAATCCCAAAGAAGCATACATTGAAGAAATGATCTGTATGTTCGATAGAGACGTGGGGGACAAACAAGAAGAGGACAGAACCTATATTTTTGATTTGTCTGATTTTGAAATGTTGAAAAAGAACTCTGGCACTGGTGGAAGCAATGAAGTAACTGCAATGGATGAAACATGCACAGATCATGATGATTCATTACTAAGATTGAGAAATGGAGCTGGCCCAGTTGACAAAAATCCAGTGGCTAAAGGAGCAGTGACTACAGCAATTCCTATGGATGAAACATGCTCAGATCATGATGATTCATTGCTAAGATTGATAAATGAGGCTGGCTCGGTTGATAAAAGTCCAGTGGCTAAAGAAGCTGTGACTGCAGCAATTCCTTCGGATGCATCCAAGTTTGAAGGGAGTCGGATAAATAACTCTTCTGAAACCAAAGTCCAAAATACAGCATCACCTTCTCATGAAGGTTTATGTTTCTGCCAGACCTCTGGGCATCTCTTCCCAAAAGCTGCTTTAAAACCTGAAGAAAATGAGAACATCTCTAATATTTCAAACAGAGCAATAAATAAATGCCTGACTGCTGATGGATCAGGTAAGACACAATTAAGTTTCATGCTCCTGTGTGTTTCTTTGTGGGTTTCCTGAGTGAATAATGTCTTTAGTATATGCAGCTTTCTTTTTGTTCAGTATCTTCATTTTGTTCGTTATGTATTCTCAGAATCATTATCAGGCAATGAGGTGGTAATCTCCGGAAAGGAACATGATTTGATCGATGACAGTTGCCAAAGTGCTAACAAAAAAATTTCTGAAATTTCAGAGTCCTTTGGTATTCCCATTACTTTTGGATCCCAAATTTTTCATAGCATTCTGGCTTGTCTTCATTTCAGTTGCTATATGTTCCTGCACTATTGTTGGAGCACCTTTCAGCTTTTGGCAAAGTGCTGTTTAACAATTTGATATATCTTATGTAATATTTCTGATAATAAAAAATTGATGTGTTGAACAGATAAAATGATGAAGGCCATTAAAATAGAGTCTGTGGAGTTGACTTCAGATCCATGCAGTCAGAAAATCATTCCACAAATAAATGGTAAGACTGTACTTTCACATCATTTTGTTAAGGAAAGCTCTGTTTGTGCATATGGATGCACGAGAGTGTTTTGCTGTGTGCTACTCTGATTTAACTACAATGCAACTAAATGTAGGGGAATCAGTAAAGGTTGTCAACCCAGTGGGTAGTAAGATTTCTAATCTGATTGGAACAGAAAATGACTCTGCTGTTCCTGTGGTAAAATCTGAACCTGTTGATCCAGTCATAACCTTGCCAATCTCATCCAGTTTCTCCTGTCAGGTGAAAGCAGGCCGTCAATCTTTTCTTGTATGCTAGTTTTTGCACTGTACATATTTTGTCTCTTCTTATACGCATTGCTTGCATTGAATTTTAGTCTGGTTTTATATGATAGATTTAGTGATTGACCATTTGTTGGTATTGGTGCCTCCTTCACTGCATGCTTTTGTTTCAATAATTTTGTGAGAAAATTGCATCTGATAATTATACTCTTCTATAGAACGTTTCTATTCTCCAAGATATGCGACATATTATCTCTTCAGACTTGTGCTAGTTTGACACAATCTTGTGAAAATCAACCAATTGACAATTAAGTTTGACTTTTTAATCAATATATGGGAATTGGGACCAAAAAAGCAAAATCAATGTGGGACTTTGAAGACTTAGTTATCATTGCGTGCCGTATACATGTGCAGAAGGGCACATCTGATAATTGTATGTTTGTATAGTTTTGCACCGAACCCTGTATTCACCTTCCCCATGTTATCGTTGTTGACTGAATACCGAGTATTCTTTTGGCTTTGCCTCCCTTGGATACCTTTGCAGGAGTTGCCAATGAGGTTGCCAATACGCATGACCTATAGAGGAAGGCCTAAAACGGATAGGAGGGTAGTTTACCTTCGAGACCCAGTAATGAGATTGTGGCCAGTCCTCTACATTGAAAGAAATTACTTCAAAACACTGGCAAGCGGTTGGGAAGCTTTCAGCAAGGCAAACAACATTCAACCAGGAGATGAGTGTGTTATTGGGATTGAAAATGGAGTTGAAGGCATATGCCCCGTCCAGATAATTAGCAAATGAGAGATTTAACACTTTTTTATTTGTATGTACGTGTGTAATTACTACTATTTGTACCATCTCAATTACCATATCGTGATCCTAAGAAAACACTTTATGTAGAGCTGCAAAACCAGCACTTATGAACATGCATTAGGTTCTAAATGGTACAGCCTAGTTTAGGTGCTCCTTTGGTCTGAGCATTTGCATAAATTTCGTAAAAAGGATGTTCATGAAATATTAAAATTTGATCAACTACATCTGTACACAGCTGTTGCTTGAATTTTCCAACCCTACTTTTCTTTCTCAACAAAATTAGGTTGATTTTGACCTCTAACCCTTCAAATAATTTCATTTGCTGAGTCTACAGCAGCTGTAGCAGACACTTGATTGTGTTCTTTGACCACCATTCTTCTCATCTTAGCCAACCACTTAAGCAGCACCACCAAATAGTCATATAGATTAAGAGCAATGTAGAGCCCAATGCCACCAATAATCCCATTCGATATAGAATAAGTAAGAGGCATGAGAAGCATGGTTATGAAAGCAGGCACAGCTTCCTTCATGTTTCCCCAGTTTATGTCCTTCACAACCTTCATCATCATCACCCCAACCATGACCAGTGAAGGGCCTATAGCCCATGGAGGCACACTAGACAACAGAGGAATGAAAAACAATGATACAAAAAAACATAAACCAATTGTCACTGCTGTTAACCCTGTTCGTCCACCTTCTCTCAAACCTGCTGAAGATTCGACATATGTTGCAATGGGGGACACCCCCAATGCAGACCCCACGATGGTCGAGCCGGCGTCAACCAAGTATGCTAAGTACTCACCTTCAAAGCCTCCTTCATCATTCACAAAACCTCCCATTTCAGCCATGGTATACAATGTGCCTGTGGTGGCAAGCACATCAACATATAGCAAGGTGGCCAAAGCCACCCAAACCTCAGACCTACTGAAGTTGCTAAAGCTAACAGCTCCAGCTGTGGATTGAATTTTGTGAAAATCTACCACTTTCTTGAAGTAATTGTAACTTGTGTCACCAACTGGTGTATTGGGAAAAACTGTCACATGTGTGCCCCTAAACCATGAAATAAGTGTGACAAAGACAATACCATATATCATGCTACCCTTAATCTCCTTGATTAGGCCATAACATGTAATTAAAAACCCAGCAGAACCCAGCCAGAATTTTGGGCTATGCATTTTTCCACCAAGGCACTCACCAGTTTGTGGGTTTGTATTAGCACAAGCGGTGATGGTGACCAATGTGGATGGGTCTGGTCCAACTAGGCCTACACCTTGGTGGATTTGCAAGCCCACAAAAGCAATGAACAAGCCAATTCCTGCGGCACAAGCAAGCCTAACAGGTTGAGGGATAAGCCTGGCCAGCTTTTCTCTGATCCCAAAGGCTGAAATTGCAAGAAAAACACATCCCTCAACTAGAACCACAGCTAGTGCAGTTTGGTAAGACATATTCCCAGTTCCATGAAAACCCACCAAGTTATAAGCCAAGTAAGCATTTGGGCCCATGCCTGGGGCTAAGCCCAAGGGCAGATTTGCCAAGACACCCATGGCAATTGACCCAATCATGGATGATACAATTGTAGCAACAACGAGGTCACTCTTGGTTTTTGAGAGGCAACTTTGGTACCCTTCATTCGGCTTGAGCATGCAATCCAGGGTGGCTGTTTGGTTTGCCGGAGCGGAGCAGTCGGCCATGGAGCACATGCCGCCGGAGTCGGCGATGATCGTGGCGTTGACGGTGATGATGTAGGCCATGGTGAGGAAAGTGGCTAAGCCGGCACGTAGTTCCTTAGTAAAACAGCTCTTTCTTGCTTCTAACTTGAAGTACTTGCCAACTTTGCTCTTTGAGACTTCATCATTTAACCCTTTCCCCAACTGGCTCCATGATTTGCCTACTCTTGTGAAGAACCCATTTCCCATTGTTGCACATAGCTCACCTCCCATCTCTCTCTCTCTCTCTCTCTCTCTCTCTCTCTCTGTGACGTACTCAATTGGGTGTGAAATTGTGTCTTATGTTAGGGTGGTGGTTACACTTATATATATAGATGTGCAAACAAGATGCTTGAGCTGGCTAGAAAGGGAATCTTCGTAGATTATGTTTATAAGAACTTGACCAAAAAAGAAGATATATTATAAGAACAAATGGGCACCATGCAGGGCTCAAAGTGTGAAAGCTGAAACTTAGGAAGTAGAGCGTTACAAGCGTTACATCACATGGTCACTAGCTTTTAGGATGAAATAAAATTTGTTTGGTTTGGTTTGGGAGGGTTGAACTTGATAATAATAATATATAATTATGGCAACCTCTATGTACTTCTGTTTTGGATATTAAAAAGGCAACTCACTACTGCGTGACTTTCATCTATATTATTGATTCTTAAGATGCTAATTATGGTTTTAGACCCAAAAAAACAAAAACAAAAACAAGTTGATGACTCTTTATACATGTGATGATCCAGTATATTGAGGCGACTCTCACTAGGGTTTCGAACCAATTCAACTTACATTCTAATATGAACAAATTGAATACAGATATTCGATAAGTTAAACAAATAAAATCATGTATAATTTCCTAAACATTTTGAAGTGAAAATTGCTCAATTATGCCGCATTAGAGTGTGTGCATCCAACTTAAAATTAATAATTGGTAATTAGTGTAGAGGTTCAAAATCTTTAAGCACTATTGCAAAGCGTACAAATACTCTTTTGCAGGTTCAATATCAGAAATTCGGAAAACTAGGTGAATATAAAAATGGCAAGTATAGCATAAGATTTGTAACTTGGATAACCACGAAAAATTAATCTCTTAATCATGTCGCCTAATCATGCCCACCTAATTATAGTGACTTAATATCTTATGCTAGTAACGTTAACAGAACCCTAATTAATAATAATATTGCACATGGCATGCAACCATGCAGGAGATGCATCACTAAATTTGATTCTTATGAAAATCTTATCCACCGATAAAATAAAATGCTATGAAATCTCTCCTCTAAATCTGATTTCGTCCTCAAAGATTTTGAGGTTCTAAGGTGCCATATAGTCGGTTTCCTTATTTATAAATTTTATATAGTTTGTCATTAAAATTGTGGTTTGGTGACAAGTAGCTTCAAAAATTCCAAATTCAAAATCTTCAAATGATCTCAAAATGTTTATTATACTACCATTTTTGTACTTAATGTTGGGGTTGTGTGACCTTAAATTGTAGCCAAAGGCACCAATCAATTTTGTGAGCAAAAATTGAAGTAAAAATCAAATAAGAATAAAAAAAAGATAAAGTATAAATACATTAAAAGATGTGTTTAACGCATGCAATTAAATAAATGGAAAAAATATATATATTAAAAGGTACCAAGCCAATTGTCACTTGTTGTCCACTAGTTAAAAGAATCCACAAGGCCGGCCTCAAAAGGTTCAAACTTTGCCTAAAAAGTTTGTAGCCATGTAACTTGAAAACCATGAAAACAGTTTTACCAATCGCATGCGCGAAACGGAAATTTTGGAAAGCATATGTTGAAACTTGAAACACCAGTGGGTTCTCCTTTTGAGAGACGAGAGGAGAGAAAGTGAAGAATTTATGACAGTTTTTAAATGAAAAAGACTGAAAATTTAGTGTTAGTGTTTGGCATTACTTAAGAAAAGGTGTGAACATAAGGAAGAGGCAACCATACTCAAATGTTCAGTCATTCTCTAAAGACTAGTCATTTTTATGCATTTTAAACCGAAGTTAAGATGGTGCGGTGTTACGAATTCACTCAAATTATAACATGCATATAAATTCTAAAAACTGCGAATAATGAATTTTAAACATAACACATATGCTATATAACTTATTGTTGGAAGTTTGAATGAAATTCAAGGCCTAAACGGATAAGTGTGGAAGTCCCACACTTGGAAAATGGAAATTGGGCCAAGTCGAAGCCAACTGGCTTCAAAATCAATTTGGGCATTGAATGTTATAGATTATATAAATAATAGTTAATATTTAATATAAAATGCGTAGGCCCTAGGCAGCCCAATTTATTTGTTTATTTAAATAGTACAGCCGCGCGGCTATACACTACAAATAGAAATATTTTAAAAGTATAGCCGATCGGCTATACTCTTAAATACCATATTCTGAATTTCTCTTTTTTAATTACTTTAATTATTGTTTACTTAGTGAATAATTAGTATTTAAGAATTTCATTAAATTCAAAAATTTAACAACTAAATACTATTTATTAAATAATATCATTTATAATGTTAATTAAAACATTTAATACTAATTATTCACTGGAGAAATAATAGTTAGAACATAATTACTAATGAAAGTAATTAAATCAGACTAAGACATTATTTAATTGCAGAAAATAAATTTTAGAAAGAAAAAAAAATTTATTGACCTAAAGATATTAAGTTTATATTTATTTTTTTAAAACCCTCTCCCGACGAAATTTCGTCGGGAGTGGTTGTCTTCCTTTTTTCTTTTTAATTTTTAAATTTTAAAAATAGAAAATTAGTTTCTTTACTTTTGTTTTTTGCCCAACTTCTTTAATTTATTACATGTAATTAAGTAATACCTTAGTCTTTTTTAATTGCTTTAATTAGTAATTATGTTTTAATTATTATTTCTTTAGTGAATATTTAAATATTTTACGGATTTCGTAAATTACTTGGTAAATAGTAATTAATTATTTTGTGGACTTTGTTTCTTGTTATTTGATATAAAATAATCGTTAATATCAATACGTGTATTATACGTTTGCTTTCATTATACTGTCTTTAAGATGTATAGGAAAAACGGAAGTATTATTAAAAAATACATACGTACGTGTATAATACAAGTATTAAATGGGAAAATTGTAACACCCTGACTCCAAATTTATTGTATATTTTAATTTATTTAAGTGAAATTATGAATTTACCCTTGGAATAAGGGTAATTTGGTCATTTCTAATCAGGAAGGAATGTGGGAATTCCGGCTGTACTGTTGCATAGAGCACGGTGAGATGAGTCTGTAGACATGTAGTGGGCTCGAATCGAAGTTGTAACGAGAGAGATACGATCAAATGAAGCTCAGTTGCATAATCGTAAATATTTCAAAATGAGATTTTTGATAAAAGGTTAGAAATGCCCTTCTCTCTTTCTTTCTCTCTCTCTCTCTCTCTCTCTCTCTCTCCCACGCATCTCTCTCTCTCTCCTCTGGTTCGCGATGGCTGAAACAGTCGGCCACGTTTTGGCCGGTCGTGCTCTCTTCCGGCCACCAAAGTCGACGGGTTCGGTACCAAAATGACCGGGCCGCCGTCCTCTTCCTACCCCAGCCAGGTCCTGCTGCCAGCCGCCGTGATTTCCCCGGAAAACGAGGAGAAAAACCCCAGTTTTGATAGAAACTTCGCCGGCTTCGTTCTTCGTCGTCCGGCCACCGATTCCGGCAAGTGATGTATGGTTTCTCACCTATTTTTCGAGCTCTAGCTGCCTGTTGGGTTGGAATTGATCAATTTGTAGCGTAGGCAACTCGATTTACGAATTGGGTTTCGACCGAATTTCGAAGGGAGATTCCGGCCACTTCCGGTCAGTTTTTGGGGTACGTCCAAGAATAAAAGTGACTCCAAATTAGGTGTATTACCTAGGGTAGAGTCTTGGCTCTCGATTTGGAAGTTTTCCGGCGATGCGATATCGCTTTGGACACCCACGAGCTGCCGGCGCGTGTGGTGGGGCGTGGGCACTGTAGTTGAGGGGCATTTTTATCTCACTGCGATCCTCTCGATGTCACGAGCGCGTAGGTGCGCTCGGATCTCATTTTGGGTACCGTTAGAGTCCCGAACGGATATCACATATCGCGTATTTTTAGGGTTCGCTAGGTTTGGACCGTTGGATGGTCCTGAAGTTATAATATGTTGATCTATGTATTACCAGGATCGTGTAGGATTCAACGGATCGTAAAACGGAGTCCCGGATAGTCCGGAAATGCCAACCCTAGGGTTAGGATTTTAATAACCGTCCGATCCTGCGATCGTGAGCGATCCGACCGTTTGATCTGGACCAAACTTGCAGAACATGTGTTCTAGAGCCTGTAGAACATATAGGAACTTTCGGATCGGAATTTGGAGGTTGTGGACCCCGCGGGCCCGTTTGACCCTAGGTTGACCGTGAGATTTCCGAGATAGTCTTACCTTTCTTTGAGGGTTAGAATGACCTTAGTGACAGGTCTTGAGCGTTGTTGAGGTAAAGGGATATTGTGGGTTTAGTATATAAATTGATAAATTTAAATGGGGGAGTTTGTGGAATGCTTTATTGGTTGAGGTTTATATAGAATTAGAAATTATAGATTATATATTTAATTGTGAGGATGTATAAAGGTATATAAAGGGATCGAATGTTAGTTTACAATGCTATATGCACTACCCCACGTACCCCCCCATATTGTGATTATGTTGAGGCCTTTAAACTGTGCGGCTGGTGAGAATGTAGCCAAGCCCAAAGTGAACAGTATGATGGCTGGTGAGAATGTAGCCAGGCCTAGTGTTGAGGTCGCACGCGTCTTTGGATTAGCTGGCGTGTTGACAGACCCCATACGTGGCCTGGTGCGTCCCAACGTATGAGGGGAGATATGATTGTGTGCGGGCTGGTGAGAATGTAGCCAGGCCCAGTGTTGAGGTCGCACGCGTCTTTAGATTAGCCGCCGTGTTGACAGACCTCATACGTGGCCGGGTGCGTCCCGACGTATGAAGGGAGATATGATTGTGTTTGGTGTGTTGTGATGCATAGATCCTAGAATGTATGAATTTGTATGGCTGTAATGGTTTATTTATATTAGGAGCCATGATTGATACGAAAGAACTACGTGTGGCTTGATCCCTTAGTAGGGTACATAGGCAGCCTGAAGTTACTAGGTGCAGCCACAGATTAGACTCCACTTAGGTGGTCTTATTGAGATTGGTTCGGACCTTGTTGTTGGT